GATTGGGTTTAAAATTACAAGGATACATAGTTGAACATTAGTAGTCGTAAAACAAAAAATTGGGTCGACTGTTCAACAATGGTTATAATACAAAAATAAAATTCGAATTTCTTTTCTTCGTTTTGCAAGGAAGAAAAAGTACACAACACTTGGAAGTAAAGGGAAAAAAACTTGCTTTAAACAAATTATCACAGTAATTATCAATGACCCATTAGTTATGTAGACTATCAAATCATAATAATAATAGTCTATTCATAAAATTTGGCTACCTCTGCGTGATATGATAAAATATGAAGTGATAAAAAAAAACATAGTCATGTAGCATATATAATATAAAGTGCTTGTTAAATTACACTTTCAGTATGTTACATAACTATTTACAATTTCTTTTTTCAAAGGGAGAACATAATACAGAAATTAAATAGCATATACAGGATGTTTCATAGCATCTGATCTCTTAGATTTTACTGTATATTTCAGGTAACGAAATGAAGTGAAAAAATATGCATATTAAGTATTATAAAATAATATTTAACAATAGCAAAAAATTGAAAAAAAATCATTATAGAACCATAGCAAAATTATGTTAGGATAGCAAAAATCAAATTAAAAAAAATAATAATAAAGAGAAACAGGTTAAGTTGCTTGACATGGCAAAGTTGTCCTGGTTTATGGTACAGTCTCTGGCTTATTAGACGCATGGTAATACAGTCTCTGGCTTATTAGACGCACTATAAGATTTTAAGTAAAATTATAATTATCAGGTGATACTATAGAGTTGTATTGTTTTTACTTGGATGAAACCGGTTTGCACTTGTTTACGCTCCTGTATTAATTGGTTAATATTGTAATGGAATACGCTAAAAATAAATAAGTATATAAAAATTCTCCTGAATAAAAACCCATTAGATGCATATTTAAATATTTTTTTTAATTACTTCCATCATTTGCTGTTTCGAGCATGAGAAGTCTCGCAGTCCAATATAACAAAGAAATATCTTCAAGGACGGAGAGTGTCTTGAAACTAGAAGAATTACGAGCCTCCTGGAAGGCATAGTAGTTCCATAGATGCCCCCCATTCACATGGTGCCTATTTGTACATAGAGTACAGTTAGGAGAGTCAGAAAGACCAACATGGTGCAAGTGTGCCTGTAAGTAATCGTGCCCCGTCAACAATCGGAAAGATGAAACACCGATAGCTCTAGGGAGATTTTTCAAACTACAGGATGCCAGAAGGCTCTCCCAAGGTTTTCCAGAAACTTGCTCTGTGTTGGAAGAAACCCTGAGACTTTGAAGCTTTAGTTTCACAATTTGTTTAGCATTTCTCAAATTTGTGGGCGTCACGGGGGGCTCCAATAGAGATGCCTCTTTGGCAAGGTTATCAGCCTTTTCATTACCCCATAAGCCACAATGGCTGGGGATCCATTGGAAAGTTATCTCCTTTCCACCATACAGAAGAGCATTAATAATGTTTTTACAATTGAATTCAATGGCTGTAGGGAGTAGAACATATTTTGAAACAGTGTGAATTGCGGCCTGGCAGTCGATGAGGAGGACAAATCTATTTTCAGGTCTTTTTAATGTCTTTTGGAGAGCCGGGTATATTGCGAACATATTCCCATCAAAATTGTCAGAGTTTGAACTGAGTGGCTTTTTGAGTTGGAAAAATCTGGAGAAAACACCTCAGCCTGCTCGTCCAGAAGCTCTCTCGTATCTTTAAATATAAAAGCATTGTATATAAACTTGTATGGAATACTTTTGTGAAATGAGTGCCAAGCAATGAAAAATGAGTACCAAGCAAGCTTGGGAAATAAACACTGGGGGTTTCGTGCTCGGCTGACCACCTGACCGGAACATCTGCTCCTGCACCCTAGAGCCCAAGATCAAGAAAACTGAGATGGGCACAGTAGGTCTTGGCCCTCTATGGGCTGTCGCGCCACTGAGTTTAGTTTATATAAACTCGTGCAAAACATGTAATTGTTAAAAAACTACAGTTCCTCTAATAATTTGGTCTAATTATTATAATATACTTATATAATACTGGATATAATAAATATTTTATATTTATATAATATATCGCTTAATTTATCCAATTGTCGAATTTATGTCATATATCGTCTAACTTATCCAATAGATACACGAATGTAAACAAGTGCAAACCGCGCAAAAACAATAAAGCTGCATCACCTGATAATTAAGATTTGACATAGAATCTTACAGTGCACCTAATAATTTGGTCAGAGACTGTAGTTTTCATGCAATTTAATCAGTCTCTTTTTTATAATATAAACACAGAAATCAATACATTATCTTAACTTATTAAACATTTATTCTTTATACAAAACATGATTAAAATAATAAAAATTACATTATGTCACAGGGGTAATCAGATATTTGTATGTACAAAATGTTTTTACAAACTAAATGTGTATAAATACATAAAATAATATCTCTTACAAGCTATCAAAAATATAAAATTTTTGAATATAAAGAATGAATATGATTATTATTCTCTTCTAAATTTAATATGTATTATTAATTCATTTGCCAAAAATGCTTTTTTAACCTACATACATAAGCCAGGTGTAATAACAAAATAGAAGCATCGAGAAAGTAAAGTAGCGATTCAAATTGGTCTGCAAAAAAAATACACCAAACTCCCAATTCCAAATTAAAGAGTGTCATTTATGAAAGAAAAGCAGGTTTTTCTATTTCTAAATGTTATGATTTATATTTAAAAATCGAAAACATATTTCTGTTTTTGAATCGAAATTTTTTTTTAAATGTTACAATTTAAAAATAAATATATGTCTTATATTTTTAAATCCTTGTACATACTTCTGTTTTTAAATTGTAATATTTAAAAAAATTATTTATCTGAGGAAGTTACAATGTATAAAGACTGTACATAATTAATAGTATAAATTTGAAGAAAAAGTACTATCTTGTCATTAGTTTTTGTGTTCTCTCTGTGACCAGGGGTGATTGTGAGCCCAACTCAAAAATCCTGAAAATTTCTCCAATAAAATCATTAATTATGTATTTAAAAAAATTAATGTCTTTATAAATTTAAATCCGATATTTTCAAAATATGACATTCTAAATAAATTATATGCAGCATAATTTAAATGAATAATTCTGCATAAGTTTACTTTTACCTCTAATCCCATTTATTATTCTACCAGAAAAAAATATTTACAAATGAGAGAGATGCCAAGTATAAATTCGAGTTCTAATATTTCTAAATAAGACATAAATTTTTTTATATACCTAAATGTGATCAATAATTTCTTGTAACCTTTGACCTGGGATTCCCGGAAATTTCCGGATCGCGTTTATCGAAAAATCTGGATTTTTTCCGGAGCACAATCATCTCTGTGTTACAGTTATCAAGAGCCTGGCCAGGACAAATTTACTACCGTTTAGCGGTAGTTTCACAAATTCAACTTTAGAAAAAACGGTAGATTCACAAAATGCTTTTAAAAAAGCAAATTCTAAGATTCTTCTCCCAGCCTTTTAAAATTTTGTTTTTGTAACCCCATAACAAACGATACATTGCGAGTTAATTAAGCATACACAAATAGGTAACATGAGCTTTTGCCATATTATAGCGAGCTTTTTTAAAAATTAAGTGATGAGGCACTCCCTCTGTCAAGTTTACAGGAAGGTGAAATTCGAATATTATTCTAAAACATTCTAACATTCTTCTAAATTTATTCTAACAGACTTTTAATTTTTTCTGAAACTTTTTTTTCTCTGTAAACTTTTTTCCATAAGATTCATAAGGTAAACGTTCTCATAATGAAAACCACTTTTAGTGCAAATACTATTAAATGCATGTTTTTTTTTTAAAAAAAATTCAAGTTGAAATTTAACAACGGACAATGATTTTTAAATTTAGATACAATTTTAAGCCCAAAATTTCACGATATCAAAATTATTTTTGAATATATGGGGAAAAATATAAACCAAATTCACCAGTCATAAATGATTTTTATTTGTAGTGACAATTTTTGAAAATATCTTCTTACTTTATGTGTATTATATTTTTGTGTTGATTTTTTTTTAAATATAATTTTTAATATTCACAAAATAGGTATCTCTCATAAAAACCTCGACAGACCCCTGGTTATTCAAATAAGGCAATTTGTTAAAAGATAGTAAAATGCATCGAGTTCTTCCTGTAAGAGAAATAATTCAACATTCAATGAAACAATCAATATCTCAATGGTAGCTAATACTCATTAATTTCCTTATCTTCATCAGCTTTAAAGTCTCTCATTGATATATCTAACCTAATAAAATCTATCCAAGGGGGAACAAATTCAGAAAATTTAGTCATTGGTCCCCTATAATTATCACTAGTCTGTCTGTACATATTTTCACTGGTCTTTTTACAGGTTTGTCACTCTAATCTGGAAAGAAAAAAAAATTCCCTGTGTTTTCCCTGTACATATTATACCCAATATATTAAGAGGAAACAACAGTTACTGTGCTCTTGGTGAGCTATATTGGGTTAACTATATTTATTAGTTTTAATTGCTGGAAAAATAGCTGAAATATCATGGTTAAATATCCCATAGATTACGATTTGAGTGGTCACCATTTTTTAATAGACAAAAATAAGAAAAAAAATTCCCTGTTATTTTTGGTAATTTTTAAATTCCCTGTAATTTTCAGGTTTTCCCTGTGGAATGGTAACTCTGTTAAAGAAATAAGGGACAGCTCAATATAAAAGAAATAATGCTGTAATAAATAAAAAAAATTAATATAGCTGAACTACTATCATCTTTATATATCCAACAGAATATGCTTCGAGAGGTCGGCATTTGAAAGACAAAAATTCCCTGTTTTTTTTCCAGTTCGTAATGAAAAATTCAAAATTCCCTGTTACTTTAGATGATTTTTGAATGCCCTGTATTTTCCCTGGAATGGCAACCCTGTAACACATTTTCCAGTGATCCTAAAATATTCACAGTAAAAATTTATTTAATTATCAGTACCAGTTCATTTAACTATCAGACTGTCAGTCTTAACAATTTACACTATATAATATTACACTATGTATACAAACTATGTAACAGTTTACACTATGCTCTTAACAATTTACACTATGTATGTTTACACCATGTATAGACTAGATTACATGTACGTCACTTTAGGCACAGACAGGAATGAACGCGAAACAACCTTTCCAGTTGTTTTAGGCATAGGGAGAATACCAGGGGCTCTTGATGTGCTAGGACCACTTTTTGTTTTTGCAGCCTTATATTTATTTTGCTGACTTGCACTGTAAGAGAAAATATTTTATACATAATTTAACAACTTAAAAATATTTTTTAATACAGAATGAGTTTTAAATAATTTCATATTGCCCATTAATGCATTTTATGAAAAAATTATAACTTAAACAGAAACTTACATAAAAAAAGTTATAAAATATTATAATAAAAAATTGTTAACTAATTATAAAACTTCATAATTTTTATTTAATAATTCATTTGAAAGTTGGAAAACAAGAACATTCTATTGGAGCAATTGTTTTTAAAAATATTAATTTATAAAAAATAAGAAAAATATTTTATAATTTGGTTATGAACAAATTAAATTGTTGCAATGCAATTTCACGGTTCCTACACTATTTTGAGAAAACAATATCCTGACTTTTGCAGGTTTTTCCTGACCTTTTACAATAAAATTCCTGACCCGCCGTTTCCCACTCCAACAAAACTTTTAACATTGCAGTTTCAATTAGTAATAATATGCTACTTAGTCATAAGTATCATAGATTGAATAGGATAAACACTTATATATTAAAGTGGAATTGCGTAATAGCACTTTATATCCCAAATTATATTTTCAGAAAACTTGTGAAACATATTTTTAATTATCATGATTAGATTAAACTTTTAGTGTGTTTTTGTAGTTAGATACGAAAACTATTTAAATAAAAAGATCAAGAAAATCTGTTGGATTATGGAAATATTATTTTATTTAATGTTAAGTGGAACCAAATGCATGAGTGTCGTCAGGATATAAAGGGTTAATCAAATCTGCGAGATATGTATCAGTATCCTCAAATAATATTTACTCTTAAAACATACTAGAACATTTGTTACATTAAAATATTAATTTTTAAAAATCACAATTTCACTTAAAACTGACTTTTCTTTTAAAAGATAATATTGAAATATAAAGGGGAAAAAAGTCAAGAAAAGTTAATTATATACAAATAAAAATTCATATAGAAAAATTATGCAACTTGTGAGAAAAATAAAATCATAAATATCTTTTTTTTTTCAGTATTTTTAAATTTATTTCTGTAATACTGTAAGCTTCCGGAGAAACTCAGGGGCTCCTATGTTATATAATATTTCTCAACATATTTTGTTGTTTGACAATTTCTGAATCAAGAACATCCAGTTCTGTTGCAGCAGTTTTCGTCAATTTAGATTTTCTTAATTTCAAATCCTCTATCTTTTCTTTTATTCGTTTTCTAGAAATTTCAGCTTTTTTATTCTCTTCGTTTTTTTTTTTTTTTGGCTTCTAATGCATGTCTCCATCTTGTTCTAGATCCTTTTACAGCATCTAGCATTTTTTCATTAATGTCTATATTTTTTATTCCATTTATAAATGAAACATAATCATACACACGCCTTTGTGAAATAATAGAGTCTTCATTGAGGTTTTCAACCAATTAGCTTTTATTGATTGAAAACCCCCCTTCGACTATTGCGTTACCATGAGGGAGGATAAGAACAATTTTTATAACCTCCCACAAATTTTCAAATTTTTTTTCTCCGTGCAAATATTTCGAGAAAAATGATCTAACCTCTTTTGCTGTGGATTAAACTCTAAGAAACTCTTTTGCTCATCTTTTTTTTGGCAGCATCACAAAACAGTAAAAATTCCTTTTTTGATTTTTCTGCTGTTGTTTCAGCTGCTATTGTCTGTAAACCAGTTATTCACACAAAGAGCAATAAACCTAGCAACCCTATCAAAAATTCCTTATCATTGGATAAAAAATTGCTAACAGGACAGGTTCTACCAGGGAAAGAGGAATGTTATTATGAGGAAATTACATATTTTGAATTACAGAATTTTTCCTTGAAACTTTATTTTTGCCTGTCAAGCTTTGAATGAACTGTAGTTTTTTTTATTTTCCTAACTTTATGAACATGTAAAAAAAATCCTGACTTTATGAATATGTAAGAAAAATCCTGACTTTTGCAGGTTTTCCTAACCGTGTAGGAACTCTGAATTTGTACATAGCTATTGTTCTAAAAGCTGATTTGCTGCAAAACACGTTTTATATATCTAAAGAACACTTACTTTTTTAATCTAATATTGAATTAAACAAAAATGAAGACCAGAATTTAAGTAAAACAAGTCAAAATGGAGAAGCGCTATAAGCAGCTAAAATTAAAATTGTTTTTTAACTAAACAAATTACATAAAAATGTAAGAATTTCAATAAAAACCAAACAGATTTTAAAGATACAATCAGTACTTGATAAGCGAATACACTGCCATGCTGCAGCCTTTCTGTAGTCAGGGGTTAAACCAAAAACTGACTGAGCTCAGAGGCCCCATTTTTCTTTCATAGTTTTGTTCTAAATTGTTTCTTTTTTCTAAAAAAAAATAGTCATAGTATGTATTGTGGAGGTAGTGCACTATTTAAACATTAATAGAGTTTTCATTTTTAATAAAACATTCATCCATGAACCTTTTTATCTCACCTAAAAGTATGGTAAAATAAAAATTTAAAGTAAAAGGAAAAAAAAAAAAAATTCTTGAATGGTGTATATCAATTTGGTGTAATCTTACCTTCTCCCCCCACAATTTAAACATTAATAAATAAAACATTATTAAGTACCTAAAATGATTTTTAGCCTTTCCTTTAGCATATTTTTTCTTCCGGAAATAACTTTTCTGTTTTTTATTTTGAGTGGCTTTTGCAGATTGCTTCCGTTTTTGTCCTCTTTTTTTAAATCCTTGAGGTGGTGGCTCTGCGTCTGACCAATTATCGATATCCTCAGTCATAGCAGACATCATATCTTTATCTGCCTTTTCTGCATCAATTACTGAAAACAAAACCTTAAATTAGTAAACAGGCACCTGTAAAGTACTTTATAAGCACTTAAAAAAATATTTTAAAGCACTATATACATTAACGAAATGACGGCTTTACATGATCATGATAAAATAACTAGTTTCTGACAAAGAACTCTTTTCTTGATTATATTAGCCACCATAAAAAGATGGAGAGATTTTTCTGTTTGATTGTAGAGGGTGGAAAATGAACCCTGGAATTGAGAATATTTAGTAAAATGCGGCAGAGTTGCCCATGAGAGTGTAAGAATCTCACCGAAAGCAGCTCAGTAGTCACTCTCTAGTATTTAATCAAACATGTAACATGATTGGCACTATCATACGTTACAGCCTGACGGCAAGCGAAAATGGATTGTGGTTGCATCAATTATGAAAACGTTGAACAGAACAGAAAAATCACACTTTTGCATAATAAGCAGCGAAAATCGACTTGATAAAGAAAAAAAATCTCATTTTCGGAAAGGGAAAATTAAGCACTTTTTAAGAACACCCCGTGAAAAAAAGCACCTTTAAGGGCTTTTAAAGGCTTAAGGGCACTTTTTAAGTAACGCTATGCAGCATGAGTTACTCTTAATTTATTTTTACTAATTATTGATATATACCATACATCCTGGTATATAAGTTGACCTCCAATTTTGGATTAGGAGATAACAAATTTTGGTATGATGCGTGATTGCTGATTAAAGCAAATACTGAATTATCTATTTTATTGTAAAATCTTTTTAAAATTCAAAATTTAAATAATTTTTTGGAAGGGGGAGAATAAAGGACTCAGCAGGTGAGGATGAAGGAGAATCCATTGCAGAGTGGTATTAGTATGACGACAGCGCTAACGTTGTTAGATTAAATTTTGATAATTTAAATGTGAGCTTCTAGTACATGTAGAATGAAGAATGATATTTTGAAAAGAGTGATTGAATCGGCCTCATTATTGAATTCACTAATTATCACTGAAACGAATAATCCAGAAACAAGTACATGCGAGCAGAGCTTAAAATTAATGGTTAAGACCCGTTGCTCTGAAATCATGAAAATTCAAATCAGACCACCAAAAAGGAATTACCAGTAGTTCCCATGACCTGCAAATATTGAGAAAAAAGGGCATGCTGTTTCTCTTTTTCTAAAATTTTGTTTTCAGTTTTTTGTTTCGGTTTATGTTTTCGTCGCAAATTAAATATTTCCTCATAATTATGACATAACACATTCTATGTTTTGTAATTTTTAATTTAAATTAAATTTATCAATTTAAAAAAAAAAAAAAACAAATAAAAATTCTAATTGTGATAGAAGAACTACCTTGCAAAAAAGTGCACAGACTAGTATTACATATTAGTAACAGGTCCTTCGGAACAGCAACTGCAATTTTTTTAATTTCCATATCTGAGCGAGGGGGAATCAGATGCACAGAAATTACATCTCGTTTAAAAAATTAAAAAAAAAAAAAAAAAGACAAACGTTTAAAATATTTCAAAAATTCAAAAGACAAACTTCTGAAAAATATGCCATAGGGCAACAAACACTTTGCTACATGGAAAAGACTTAGGGTGTAATTTAACACTTTGGTTAAAAATTTATTTATAAAGAAGTCACTTGGACTTTGTAGCAGGAAGAATCCACTGTAACTGTTATAAAAATAACAGGGTTGCCACAGAGAAAAAAATGGACGAAATAGTTGCTTTTAGTAGCTTAAAGCATGAAAATAGTTGCCTAAATAAGAACAAAAATTCATAAAAAATATTACTAAAATGTTGTTAATGACTTAATTGTCACATACCATGATCCATTTAGTCAAGTTGGTGGCAAATGTGATAATTTTTATATAAACGTTAATGCTCTAGCACAATTTTCCCTTTTGTCAATAATTTGTCTAGGAAATATAAACATATATATATACACATATATATTGTCAAAATTGAATACGCAAATTCGAAATTTACGCGTTGTAATATCGTAATATTATTATTTGTTCTTCTTCAAAAATCATGCTAATTTTGAAACAACATCCACTGAAAAGGCGACCGAGAAACGAAATAGACTTACAAAGGAATCTGCAGATTGAACGAATTAAAAAGTGAAGACGCAAATTTGAAATTCAAAATTTTCAAAATTTTTTATTTTTTAAGAAAAAAAAAATCAGTGTGTTCAAAAGCTATCGTGGGTCGTAGATTTTGAACCCAATTTATGCTAAAAAAAACATCGCTAGGAGTACAGAAAAGTCTCCTAATAGTCTCCTTTTCCTGAAAATAGTTGCTTTTTTAGCCTTTCCAAGCAAAAAAAGTTGCCTGTGGCAGCCCTGATATAGAAAGAAAAAAGCATACCACATCTTTCAGCAGCATATCTGGTTGTGACTTCAAGAAATCTTTTCCCGTATTTCTCATAAACAGCACGTGTAATGTGTGGGATGAGCAGCATGTCCTCCTCCGTCATGGGCATTTCTCTCGACATTTTCCTCAATGCCTCCACGTTAACGACATTGGTGTAATGTAGGTTTCTTTCAGATGCGATTGCCTTGCTCACTTCAATCAGTTCATTGTAGCAGGACTCAATCAGTTGTAGGATTTCCTTGTCCTCAACAGGAATTGCAGCAGCAACTGTAGGGTTTTTATGTTTGGTTCCTTTCAGGAAAGGCATAACAATCTAAAACAGTAAATAATAAGTCCATTAAAATGTAACTTTGAATCTTATTATTTATTGAAACACTACTTTTTATTGAGTTCCGTAAACACATTCCTCATTTCATTATTTTTCCTATCATCTTCGCATTTTTTTTATAGTCATAAAAAACCCTGTGGCAGAATCGCAGCAACATTGTCGCAGAAAGTTACGGAGTTCTTGCAGAAAGAATTTTCCTTAGAAAGTAAAAAATTTTGGTTTTCCCTTCTGCAAAAATTTTACGGGAATTTTTTTTCTCTCTAAAATTATAATTAAAATATGCCTTTTTGCGCATCGGAGGGGAAATAAATTATCGTTTATTTGAGAAGAATGAAAAAATAAAGAATATTGAAAAAAATTTCTTTTCTGCAGAAATATTTTAAATATTTTTTGCCTCCACAGTTATATTCAAAAGATGCCTTTTTCACGCATCATAGGGATAGAAATGCTCATGGTGTTTTTTAAAGTTCTTATTTGGGGGGAAAAATGGTTTTGTTTCCTTTCACGGATTTTACAATTTTTAATTACATTTTTTTACGAGATGATTTACGAAATGTAAAAAATGATCAGCGCTTTTATACACTACTAACTGACAATAAGCCCAAATGGATAGTAAAAATGTTGAATAGAACGATGCAAAAACCAAGCTTTTTGCATAGTATTTGGCGAAAATCAACATGATAAAAGAAAAAAATATCTCATTTAGGACAAGGGAATGTAGTTCATTTACCACTGCAAAAATACAATTCCAATTCACTAGTATATAAGAACTCGATTCTATGGTGGCGTACCTTTTCATAGATGAAGGTTGATAACTACTATTCCCCCACTGGTGACCTTCGAACGTGATGTATACCTTGCATGTATATCATACATACCTTGACAGAAACTCCCACTTTGATATGAACACGCCTATCTCGACAGTAACGCCCACTTCAATGTGAACATGCCTACTTCGATGGATGAGCCACATTGAACAGTTGACTTGCTATTTGTGATAGAGTCACTATCTACTTCCTAGTGTCATTGCTACGACCACACACAAAGAATAAGACATACACTCGACTGCTAAAGGCAACGCAGGAGCGACCACGTCCGTGAACTTAATACAGCTCTCACAATCAGCACTCGAAAGCACGGTGATCTTAATACAGTTCTCCCAGGTTCTCACAAAGCAGTAATGAATCAACTAGTGGTATCGGTTCATCAAATTCTATCACAGATGTAATTCTGTTGGGGGAGTACTGTAGTGTATCTACCACTACAAAAATACAATTCCACTTCACTAGTATACAAGACATGCTAGCTCGATTCTATGGTGGGGTATCTTTTCATAGAAGATGGTTGACATGGTCAAATTCTACTCTCCTCACAGGGAAAATTAAGCACCTTTAAAACACCGCATGCACCACGAAGTTTGTGGTGAAAACCAGATGAAAAAAGTGGAGTTGTGCAGATCAAAGGAAAAGTGGCACATCTGTTTGATTAAAATTTCAATAAACACTTTTTGTGAATCAGCAAAAAATTCCACAGATTCAAAAAAATTCAATAAATTTTGTGACAGAGAATGCCTTTGATAAAGAGCAGAACACAAATCTAAAATAAATGAATAACTTACCTTTCCATTTCCAGCTATCAAGTCTCTGGCTTTTTTACCCAGATAAAGGTAACTAATAGCAAGATCCATTGCGTTGATGAATAATTCTTCCTGCAGGTATTGATCGAGCACCATTTTGCGAAATAGTCTTTCAGCATCAGAGCGATTTAAATATTTTCCCTTGCCATGAAGTTCTAACTTATCATGACCAGCAGCTACGATTTTCTGAGGTTTTGCACCTATGGATTTAAGATATGTGTTAAACCTTGCACACAAAGAACATAGAAAACAAAAGAGATTAAGGAGGGGAAAAAAATTAAAACTACTAAACTCAGTTGCGCGACAGCCCACAGAGGGCCAAGGCCTATTGTGCCCATCTCAGTTTTCTTGACCTTGGGCTCTGGGGTGCAGGAGCAGATGTTCCGGTTAGATGGTCAGTCAAGCGAGGAACCCCCAGTGCTTAGTTCCCAAGCATGTTTGGTACTCATTTATCTTTAAAAAAACTAGGTTAAGGAAAATAATTGATTATAAATTTAGACAAATTAACTTTGAAAAGGCATAACCTGTTTTTCAACTCACACGGTTAAATTAGTGCTCCCTGATATTGTATGAATATTGCTAAATTAACAAATATATAAAAACATTATATTTACAAGCAGTGCATATATTTTTTTTGAAAGAGGGGCGCAAAAAAAAGTTTAGCTATCGAGGGTCGCAATGGAATAAGTTTAATATCGATCGACAATAAATTAATTATTCCTCGGTGTCATTACAACAGTAAGAATCGGAAATAAAAAGTTGTGTTATGTTTTAAAAGTAAAAAACATTTTAAATTTTGAACGCTTTGTAATTTTCAATAAAATTCAAATATGGTAGTTTTTTAACTTTATGGTGAAAAAAATATTGAAATTTTTTATATCTGTATGTAGTTTATTTATATGGAGCAAACACTTTTTTAAAAAAAAAATTTGACATGCTTTGATGAAAGAATAGTTTCTTTCGAAAAACAGAAGTGCTGAAAGAATGTCATCTAGAATTGCTGACATTTACAGATTCTTAGGTTATAATTTCAATTTTTATTGTAATTGGTAAAAAAAAAACAGCAATAAAATATCTTGCAATATAGTGATTTAGTTTCTCTAAATTACTTTTTGATTGAAAGACCCTGAATTAGAGGTCGTGTATCTTCAATATAAACAATAAATGCAAATCAAGATTAGCTTTTAAAAACTAATTTTCTTTGCTTCTGCACTTTAATTCAGTTATAGTTTATTATTTTTAAAAAGAAAATGAAATATTCAAAAGCATCATTGCATAAACAGAATACAGCACACCACTTGCTTTCTAAAAGTTTTAAAACAAATATTTACAACAAATGATTAAAAAAATTTTTATGAACGAATATTTTTCATAAAATTGATTATAAACTACCATTGCTCAATATCAAGAAAAGACACATCAAGTCTCGATCCATCATTCATCTTCTCATATGTATATTTTATTTAAAAATCGTCGTTAAACAGCTGACTCAATTTTTTGAGTTCACGACTACTAATGTTCAACTCCATAGCCATGCAATTTTGAACCCAACCCAGAAGATAAGGGTCCTGGATCTAGTATTGGGAGAAATTTGCCTTTGTGGAAGACTTTTTGATAGATCTAACCCGTATTTGCGTTACATGGAGAGGAAGACCACGAGAACCTCCCACGGTTAGCTGAATGGTAAGGGGACTCTAACCCCTGAGGATATTTCGTACTAGTACTGTGGCCGGTGCAAGCCGGATGCAGAATTCTCTCTATCCCTGAGCCATCGTGGCTCTCTCATACGAATAGTCTTGTTTTAACGGTTTCGTCAAAATTGGTATTCTTATGATGTTATTACCAGATCCGTGGTGACTAAGGGGATAGAGTGCTCACCTCCTAAGAGTCCCTTTGCCGTTAGGCTAACTGTGGGAGATTTTCCTCTCCATGTAGCGCAAATGTGGGTTACTTCCATCCAAAAGTCCTCAATGAACATGAATTTCTCCCAACACTTGATCCAGGAGTTCCCTTGTCTTCTGGACCTTGTTCAAAACTATAAGGCTACGCAGATGAACATTGGTAGTCGTAAACCCTAAATTGGACCAGCTGTTCAACGACATTTATAAAATAAAATGTTAATACCAGTTTAAATAGCTTTTGAGACTAGCAGATTTCTGACTCAATGACATCCAAAGAATACATATCAGGATAAGAATATGTATGTTAAAAATTTTATGAAAATATGTTGTTGCTTTAGAAAATGCAAAAGCTTGCAAGAGGTGCAAATTGATACCAATGAATGAGCATCAACATTTGCAGAAAGCTTAGACGCTTTTAAAACAATTATTAACTTTCTGCATTCTCACAAACTTGCAGAAAATAAACAAAAATCTATTACGAATGTCAAAATTTTATTGTTGGTGCAGGAAAGAGAACTAAAGATTCCAAGTACTTTAAATAAATAAATGCATTTATTCATCTTTTCTTTGCAGCATAAATATTTTTTTAGTCACAATCAATTATTAGGTAATTTTTTTTAATACTTAGTCGAGGCACTACTGCACTAAAAATAACACCTAAAAAGAGCATTTCTAAAATAATAAAGTTAATATTGCAGGGGTCTGTCTAGGTTTTTCTGAAAGGTACTTATTTTGTGAAAATTTAGACATAATTTGTGAAAGTAAAAATTATATTAAAAAATCAACACAAAAATATGGTAAAAATAAGGATTTATCATTTCTTAAGGGATACAAAAATAATATTTTAAGAAAAAGTATTTTGTGAAATTACCGTTTTTCTAAAGTAGAATTTGTAAAGGTACCCGCTAAACCAGGGTTCATGATTATGTTGATTTCTTTTAAAAAAAATCAGATTTTTTAAAATTTAAATTGGGTTTTTTTAAAAATTTAAATACACTGTAAGAACTTTGATTTATGACTAAAAAATTTTATAAATGTTTAATCAAAATTAAATTAATATTAAAACTATATTATAAGAATATTTTAGAACCCTAAACAACCTAAAACAATTTTTCATTATAATAAATAGCTTTGAATGCATAGCAACCATTTTGAAACAAATGCATGTTTGAAATTTAAAGACCAGATGAAATAGAGAATTTAAAGAATACTTTAACTATTAAAACAAAGTTTCAATTACCAAACCATAATTTTAATTTAAAACTGTGATTTCTTTTCTTTTTCTCTTGATTTTTAAAATGACAAAATAAATGTAACAGATTGTGTTTATAAATGTAGTCATTCATCAAAAAATAAATCAATATTTAATCTATATAGTTTTATATCAAAATATTCATTTTTAATCCTATATCAAAATAGATAAGTTAAGCTAAAAAAAAATTTTTTTTTTAATTCTATGTACTCATTGAAATTTTTTTTCACTAATTTTTTTTATAGAAAATCTGATAATGTCAAAGATACTGGAAACATATTATGAGAAAAAAATACTTAAATGTTTACTTTAATCTGTACTTTCAATCTCAAGAATCAAAAGATTTTTAATAATGTAATTTCAAATGTGCTGGTATTTAACGCATACCAAGAAAGTAATTTCGTTAGCTAAATGCAGCAATAATAAATTTTAAAAATAATGCAGCAATTTATTTAAAATAAATTTTATAACTAAGAAAATAAATAATAAATGTATCAATAATTTGAAACACTGTTTTTTAACTTTTTAAATCAGTTTATATATATAAAAAATCAGTTGATTTAAATCAACAAACCCTGAGCTAAGCAGTAGTAAATTTGGCCTGGACAGACCCCAGTATTGGTTCTAATATTTTACACATCCTAGAATACTTGTTAAATAATAATCACGTCATCAACCTCAAAACTAAATATTATTTTACAATTTAAAAGAGAAATTTACCTTTGTAAATGTCCACAAAGTATGGCATAGTAAAATTTTTTCTACTTTTGTGATCAACTATAGCAGCCACACACTGTATAATGAGTTTGGCATCAGCGGTCATGTCACGCATCTCAAATATTTCCTGAAAATAATTCATAGTCAAGTAAAAATTCTGAATCATTTAAATCAAAATTCACATTCATAGAACAGCTCATTCTATAGGAATGGAAAAAAAAAGATTAAAAGTTTTGTAGGTAACAGAATGTTTAGCATTGTCAGGGATGAGATTATCCAAAAGGCAAAAAAGCTGAATTTCCACGATAGTAAATTTTACCCAAGCGCAACCCTTTAATAATAAATTCCAGACAGTTTAAGGTAATAAATAATGTGTTGACATACAATTGTGTACTAATCTATTATTATATAAATGATTACATTGATACTTAACATTTAGTGAAAATAAAAATTACCAATTGAAAAAATAAAGCTGGAAATTATATTTTTCCTCAGTTCACATAAGAGACAATTATTACTTGAAAAACTACCTGGTTTAGCAAATTAAAACTACTGAGAATATACATTAATATTTCATTTCTTTTAATAAATACTGTTATGTGATTTATAGCAAATATATCAGTAATATTACTTTTTAAATTATATTGGGAAAAAAAAACTTTAACAATGAACCAAATCATTATGTTCATGTTATAGTCTAATCTAACTACAGCCCTTTGAAACATATCAATAACAGTGAAGTAGAAATATATAGTAACTCCTTAACATACAAAAATTGGTATTTTAGTTTGAAAAATTACATGACAATCAGCAACTGTTTAGATAATTGTTTTTTATTTGATAAGAATTTTGCATTTTATAGCATAAATAACAGCAATTACAAATAAAATTTTGATGATGAGTTAACTCTTTTAACTATTAACTCTTTTTCCAACAAAAAAAAATTAAATTGAATCCCTTTTTAAGTTATTGCTTTTGTTTCCTATATCTTTTATGTTTGCTATATTTAGTCGTTAGTCCATCTTCAAACATCTTGTGACAAATCCTATTTTTTCTTCTTTGCAAGCACAGAATGTAAGTTTTGAATATATTCCCTTCCAGTTTCTCTGATGTTGTAACACTTACATATACTAATAATTGTCGTTAGAAAAACAGTCACCTTTATAGTAACTAATAAAAAAGAAAAAATTTACTTCTTACAGGAATCGCGATAGTTGATCTTAAAACTGCGTAAATATGAATAACAATTATGGATTTTGAAATTGCATGAATATGAAACTAGATATACTATTTTGAAAATGAGAAAATACAAACTGCGATATACAAATGCGACGCGTAAATACAAATCAAGATTCATAATTTTTAGATCGCGTAAATGCGAATCATGATGCGTAATTTTCAAATTGCATAAATAAGAATCATGATGAATAATTTTTAGAATGCGAATCCCAATGCCTTATTTTAAAATCACGTATAAATACGAAAATCAATGTTTGATCTTATAAACCGCATGAGCAAATCAAGACATTGAATTTTAAACTTGCGTGAATACGAATCGCTACATAGGTTTTTAAAAAGGTGTAAATACGAATCACAATATCGGATTTTTAAATCTCGTAAATAAGAATTGCAGCGTACAATATTCAAATCGCGTGAATAAGAATCCCAACACGCAAATATGAAAAGCTATGTTTGATATTAAAATCGTGTGAATAAGAATCGAGATATTAGCAGATTCCAGGCTTGGTACCTCTAAGAGGCTTGTCAGAAGCGGCTTCGTTTGAACTACAAAAATCGGATCTATCTGGAGGGCGGGTAAAAAATTCTGAAAATCTTACCTGCTGCGAGTAAAAGGGGAGAAAATAGCTAAAATAAGTAAAAATGAGAAAGGATTGGTAGCTATGTATTGGTATTATGTAGTTTAAATTTTCTGTTTCTCTTTGAAAATCGGTGAATTTTCTGAAAAAGCGGAATACTTATAAAAAAAAAGGGAAATTTTTAGAAAAATCTGAATTTTTGATTAAAAAGCTGAAATTCAAAAGAGATAAAAGTGAAAAAAGCGGAAAAATCTCATCCCTGCATTGTGTAACTCCAAAAAAAGAAAAAAGGGAGCTTTATATTCTACATTTTTAATTTTCAAAATTAAAAATTTGCATAGTTTTGATAACTGTGTGATTTTGGTAAACTTAACAATGGACAATTACAGCATCTCTTTATTTATTATCTATTCTTTATCTATGCTCTCCTGAAACCGAATATCTAATTGTTTTTTTCCTCAAACGTTTATCTATATAACTATTAAATACTTAAATTGGCCAAAAAGGCCTCCGTAAGTGATGCAATCAAAAGCCATCCCAATTTATTCACAATTCGTTAAATTATTTTCTTGGTCTTTTTTCCATCAAAACATGTAAGTTATGTAAAAGAAGAAAAAAAAACTATGGTAAATATAATTTTTTTAATTGCAAAAAAAAAAATATCCTTTTAACACTAATAGTTGAAAGTAGAGTTGTTTTCTATTAAAATAGAAATTAGTCAAAACGTTCACAGATTATATTTCAATGAATATTTAAAACAGATGGTAAGTATTCTTATATGTTCTGCAGCAAGTGACCTAAATACCCTTAAAATATTACATTTTTTAAAAATCTAAAATGAATATACAAGTCATTTAAAATTGCAACTATGATCAGTTATTTTAAAGGATAAATAATGCTGCAAAATTATGTTACATAGATAATATTTGTGCTTAATTAATGGGCAAAAAACTTCAATAAAATTATCAAATAGTATGAAATACGAATAAAGAGCAATGATCGTTACTTTATCATTTTAAATTCAATGAAATGTGGAATAACAGATAATTTTATTTTAATTCTTCTGTTAATTAATTACGTATCAGCAAAATATTACTTTTATGTGGGAGAAAAAGTCTTAAAATTGTGGCAGCTCAGATCGAGCTCAATTATAGGTAGCAAAAATTTTATTCTGGGAGGAAACAGGTTCATATCTGGCTGCCGATGAAATATGACACCAATTATTCGGTTCACTGCCCAGTCACAGTTGGTTTCCTCAACTTTTGTAAGGACCAGAAGTGGGCTATACAAGGTCAACCACCATATGCTTAAGTGGAGGGTGGCGACTGCTCATTGACCAAAATGACGATTGTTTTGGCTGCTCGGGCATATATTCCCTGTTTTAGATGACACGTTTAGACTGTTCACTGCATTAATAAATCATTTTTATTGAAAAAATCCCTTGATTTCAATAATGTCTACTCTGATTAGAAATTGTTCGTATTATAAACGTGACTTAAAGAAACTTAATAGGCAATAAAAAATTAAATTTTTTATAACGACAAAGTTTTTGCAGAGAAAAAATAAATAATAATAAAATTATATAAATAGTCTATGTATAATTGAAGTTAGATTGTATTTAATCCACATAACATTAATTGAACATTATTAAAAACAAAAACACAATAAACAATTAAAATCAATAAGATTAACATCAAAATTAAAATCAATAACTATTAACATCAATAAGATTGCAAAATTTAATTGATTGATACTAATTTAAAAAAAAAAAACATTTTTAACACCAATTATCAAACCGTCCTGCAAACCATTCATATTTACTTAAAATTAATCCATATTTATTCAATTAAGTCAAAAAGAAGTTATAACTAAAAAGCAATTCCCTTGATTCACACCAAGCAAAAATAAATAAATTATAAAATCCTATTAATAATCCCTAGCTATTAATTAAATAATCCTCAAATATAAAACAAAGCTGCAAGAAAACAAACAAAAATCAAAATAGAACTTATTAATTAATAAAATAACTTTTCGACAACTGAATCATTCTACAATAAATTTAAAAAAAAACTTAATTATTAAAAATATTATGCAAATAATCTGTATTAATTAAAATTAAATCATTATCAACTGATGAACGTTTTTAAGAAGAAAAGGGGAAGAAACGGAAAAAAAAAGAAAAGAAAAACTATAAAAATGCAACACTTTAAGATCTTCTATTTAAAAAAGAATCATAAAAAAGATGGATGAATAGATAGAAATTATGATAGCAAAATCAAGAAATTAATAAAAAAAAACTTATTTTAATGATAAGTACCAACCAATATAAAAAGAAACTAATAAATATATAAGTTAATTGATGTTATTCATTTCTTTAAAGAGTTAAGCCAAATTATAATAAACTAATGATTTATTAAAACCACCAAATTAACTAATATAAAACAAAATTAATGATAAAAAAATGCAATATATTGAATACCATTAAAAGTTGAAAAAAAAGAAAATGACAAAAAGAAAACTTTAGAGTCAAATTAAATAAAAACAATACTTAAAAATTATAAAACTGAAACGATAGTTAAAAGCTGTAATAAAAATATTAAAACTCGGGACAAGGTAGGATATAACGAGATCAACTGAATTAAAGAAAGATCTTTAATCTTAAAACTCAGAAATATGAACTAATTTATTGAGTATGCAATTTATAGTGGAAAAACTTTAATTGTAGCGGAATTAGAAATGTAATACTTGTAAAAGGAGAAACCTGCAATATGCTTCATGAAATAACAGTCAGCAACTAATAATAAATAATTGTATATTTATATATTATATATCTTTTCATTTCTTTTACTAAACAAAAAAAAACATATCATAGAAACAGATGATTTTTATCAATAGCAGATGTGTTTTCACATCTGGCAAATCTTGCAAATGACACTGCAAATTTAAAGAATCGGAAATCATTCAATTAAAAATATTGTTTCTCTCTTGAATTGATATTAAATAAATAAACATAGCAGACGATAATAAAAAAAACGTTTTGTTCCTAATAATTAACGCATTATTCTAAATAACAAAACAATCAGTCATAAAAAAAATCAAGGATAACAAAAGTTAAAATTAAGAAACAAAAATGGATTTTAAAAAAAGAAGAAAAAAACCTAACATGCTAATACTCTCAAGTTTCCAGCTTGAACATCCAATTGACAATCAGAACTTCTAAACAAAACTCAGTGGCACGACAGCCCATAGAGAACCAAGGCCCATCTCATTTTTCTTTACTTTGGGCTCTGGATTGCAGGAGCAGATGTTCCGGTTAGGTGGTCAGCCTCAAGCAAAAACCTCAGTGTTTAGTTCCCAAGCATGCTTGGTACTCATTTATTGAGCTACTGAAGGGATGAAAGGCTGAGTCAACCTTGCCTGGAGCGAGGATCAAACCCAGGCCCTGTGGCAGGGGAACGTGAAGCGCTACCATTCAGCAGAGCGTCATATGAACTTCAGAAATCAAAAACAATAACTTAAGAATAATAGCATATTGAAGTTACACTTAATGATCGCTGGACCAGGAAAAAAATCTGATATATTTTATGTTGCCATCATAAATTACCATCGAAAACGGAAAAGTGAAATCCCGTAATTGGGCAGGGTGGCAAATTCCCTCACAATTTATTTATTTATTTCAAATGGCAGAGGTAATTGACATGAAAAAGCAAAAACATAGGAACAAAACGAGAAAGTAAAAAGTCATTTCCTTAGGAACGCTCTTGCTTCCCAATATCGCTCGGTAGACGACGACCCGCGGAGGGCCCTGCAGCACAGGATGTGGCTGCCATCCAAAACAGCTTGGCTCATGCATAGAGAACAATAGGGATCAGGTGCCAGCCCTAAACGAAACAGGTGCGCGGCAAGGCAGTCATGTCCGGTATATAGTCGAAACTGAGCCACCGCTTTGCAGCAGAGCCAGTCTGGAATGGTGTTCTGTCGAAGATCTCTCCACACTTTGGTTTTTACCCTTTCTGACAATTGATGGTGGAAATCCCCATTGATTTTTGATCTAATAATCCTTTTTAAAGTTGAAAAGGGGACTGGGCTACTAAGAGCTTGGAGAATTCTTGTGCCTCACAATTAAAATTAAGTTTTCCTCTAATTTTTCTTATGATTCTCATTTTTCATGACAGTTCCCGGACAGTCCCCTACTGCTTAAGAATCCTATTAGTTCTCAGTAACAAAATAAAGCATTTTATTTTCTTCTCTTCTTTTACTGGAAACTTAATTACAAAGCATTTAAGAAGGAAAAAAAAAGATGAATAAGCCCCTGCTTAAACTGAGAGAGAAAAAAGAAAGTAAAAGAAACCTTAGAGAAACAGTTATCGCATGATGTCCTGGGATCATTAAGGCACAGTTGCCTCTCAAATATTTCACCAAAATATGCCAGCATCCACACTCTCCGACAATCAGTCTTGTTCTCACAGTAGTGGACCATTCGAAAGAGATTGTCAAAATGTGTTGCCCAAGAGTGTTTATTATCAACATCCTCTGGAAAAAAAAATTTAATTTTCAGGAAATAATAATTTTTTTGGATATATTCTAGACTTTTTTTGCAACACAAAAACTAAGACATCAAGTATTTAAAATACTTTAGAGAATAAGAATAGTGGGAAATATTTTTCAAAAAATAAGCACATTGGCCATATTTAATTTTTATGAAAATTGACAGCATTTTGAAGATAACTTTAAAATGCCGTTAATTCGAGTTTCTCAAATAGAACAAAATTATCAGACGCCACTAAATACATACCTGCTGACATTGGAGGAATAAAATAACAGAGCTTTTACTAGCGACATTTTTTAGGCTAATAATGCATAATCATGTAAATCAAAAAGAAAAATTCGAAATTGGAAATAATATAAGCACTTACATTTAGTGTAGTAAAAGATATGTATATGAATCTGTATCTAAAGAAGATTTTTTTTAAAACATTATTTATAATTTTTTAAACCATTAACTCGCAACATACTGCAGTAATGACCATAGAACCATCTGTTGAGGAATAAGATAAGTATTTTTGCCATCTGCAGATATTTCATCACCAAATTTTTTTTTATGTTTTTAATTTCAACAAATACAGAGAAATTTGAGAAGATATGGGTAAATAGGAGATAGTCGTAAAATACAGGAGCCTTCATTATAAAACTAGGAGACTTGGCAGATATGCAAGTATAATTAATGGCGATTAAAAAATCGTTTGCAGATTATCACTTTTTGTTTCGTTTAAAATGCGCCTCGTGTTCAATTTATAGTAGTGTTTAAAAAATAAATATGGAATTATGAAGAATATTTCATAATATTCCGAAAATAATGCCCATTTCTTAAAATTTTTCATTTTAGAATTTAAGCTGGTAAAGTTTAACGCTGTTTTAAAAATGCTTAACAATGTCAAAATTTTTAAAAATTTTGTTTAAATCCTAGCAGCTAAATAACTTGGGCCTATATTCATGAATCTTGGCTCATTAAGGGTCCAAAGGACCTTTATTTTCTGATATTGGCTATATAGAACTTTCCGATTCACCGGGTATTTTACAGCCACTTTACAACCAATATCAGGCCTACATAGAATTGTCAGATTCACCCAATACTTTATATATACATATCAGGGTGCGTAGCCACATCTTTCAACGATTAATAAGCACCTTTTAAGTACTTTTTAAGCACTCAAAAAATATTTTTAAGCACTATATACATTAACAAAATACAGAATAATTTTCGAAGACTTTACATGATCATGAAAAAATAACCAGTTTCCGACAAAGAACTCTTTTCTTGGTTCTATTAGCCATTATAAAATGATCAAGAGGTTTTTTAGTTTGATATCAGAGGGTGGAAAATGAAGCCTAAATTGAGAATATCTTACAAAATACAGCAGAGTTGCACATGAGAGTGCAATAATCTCACCGAAGCCAGCTCAGTAGACGCGCAAGTATTTAATCAAACGTGTAAAATGATTGGAGCTTTCATACGCTATGGGCCGACAGTAGGCTGAAATGGGTTGTGATTGAAAAAATTGTGAAAATGTTGAATAGAACAATGTGAAAAGCACGCTTTTTCATAATACGTGGCGAAAATTGACACGATAAAGAAAAAAAAATCTCATTTTCGAAAAGGGAAAATTAAGCACTTTTTAAAAACGCTACACACCTTGTCCATTATTTAGCCAATGCAGGTTCTATATTGGCCAATGTAAGCCCTATTATAGACCACTCTAGGACAAATATTAAAANATAAGCACCCTTTAAGTACTTTTTAAGCATTCAAAAAATATTTTTAAGCACTATATACATTAACAAAATACAGAATAATTTTCGAAGACTTTACATGATCATGATAAAATAACCAGTTTCCGACAAAGAACTCTTTACTTGGTTCTATTAGCCATTATAAAATGATCAAGAGGTTTTTTAGTTTGATATCAGCGGGTGAAAAATGAAGCCTAAATTGAGAATATCTTACAAAATACAGCAGAGTTGCACATGAGAGTGCAATAATCTCACCGAAGCCAGCTCAGTAGACACGCAAGTATTTCATCAAACATGTAAAATGATTGGAGCTTTCATACGCTATGGGCCGACAGTAGGCCGAAATGAGTTGTGGTTGAATAAATTGTGAAAACGTTGAATAGAACAATGTGAAAAGCACGCTTTTCCATAATACGTGGCGAAAATTAACACAGTAAAGAAAAAAAATCTCATTTTCGAAAAGGGAAAATTAAGCACTTTTTAAAAACGCTACACACCTTGTACATTATTTAGCCAATGCAGGTTCTATATTGGCCAATGTAAGCCCTATTATAGACCACTCTAGGACAAATATTAAAAAATCTAGACATCCCAATTATTGGTCCCTCGGTGCATGTCCTTATAGAACCCATATTGAGCCAATTTCAAACCTAACTGGGGCCTAAGGTAAAATTGTTAAGAAAGTTATTCAAAAATAGTTTTTGAGAAAGTAGCCACTGTTAAAAATGTGTCTCTTGACTGCTAGAATTGGATAGTATACTGTGGAAATTTGGAGAAAAAATAACTTTTTTAATGTAACTTAAGAAATGTACAATATAAATCTAACAAAATAATAACAGTTGCAACACCTGTAAGAGTTGAAGATAGATGGACAACAAAATGTATTAATCTCTTAAACAAATGTGTTCCAGCTGAAGACAGAAAAAATAAAAACCATTTCATACTCATCATCATTCTTTTAAGTCGATGCATATCTTTGTAACAGTAGAATAAAATACACCAGGATATTTCACCATCCCTTCCTGCTCTTCCTGATTCCTGATAGTATCCTTCAATAGACTTTGGTATGGAATGATGGATTACAAACCTCACATCAGGTTTATCAATACCCATGCCAAATGCTATGGTGGCACATATCACCTAAATAAAGAGCAATTACTAACCTCCATACAGATGCATTCAACACACCACTAGTTACAAATCACTATAAATATTGAAATAAAAAATGGACAGGTCAAATATCTTTTTCTAAACAATTAGTTTAGGGAATCTGCAACTGTTTTCCCTTGCAAATTTAGCAGGTAATTTGTAACTAAGACAAAAGGACATTGATATTTTTATTGCTTGTTATCATTAAATTGTTATTATAGTTTATTTACGTCACACTAGAGCTGCAGAATGTGCTAATGGCGACGGTCAGGGAAACATCCTTGAGGATGATCCGAAGACATGCCCTCACAATTTTGGTCCTCTGCAGAGGGGATGGCACCCCTGCTTCAGTAGCTTGATGCCCTGCAGGCGAAGTCGAGCACTTTACGGTAGAACAGTTCAACACGGATTGATTCCGCACAACCTCGGTCTCTTTGTAGACTGATCCAAGCGGACACCCACCTGTATATTGACCACAGCCAGTGATACTTGACTTCGGTGTTCTACAATCATTCCACTGTGGGACATCATTAAATTGTAATTGTACATTATGTTTGCATTTGATTGCACAATTTTAAAGGGTTGCCACTCAAATCTGGAAAAAAATTCCCTGTTCATATTATACACAATATATTAAGAGGAAACAACAATTACTCTGCTTTTGTGTGAGCTATATTGGGCTAGCTATATTCCTTAGTTTTAATTGCTGGAAAAACAGACAAAAATAAGAAAGAAAATTCTCTGTATTTTCCCAGTTTGTAAAGAAAAAAACAAAATTCCCTGCATTTTTCCTGTTATTTTAGGTGATTTTTAAATTCCCTGAATTTTCCAAGTTTTCCCTGTTCTCCCTTTGGAGTGGCAACCCTGTAGTTTTTAAATAGAATGGAAATTCATGTAAAATAGCTTTATATAAATTTTTACAGGGAACAAAATAACAAGTTTACTTTGAATTTGTCATTAATCCAAGCTTCTTGTACCTCTTCTCGATTATTAATGCCAGCGTGATAAGCTGCAGATTTAATTCCACTTTTAAACAGCTCCGCAGCTACAGCATCACAGTCGTTTCTGAAACACATTTTTATGAGACGAATGAAGTGAAAGGAAATTTTATTTTCAATACATTCTTACAAGAGAATTGCAGGTAAAAAAAAAAAACCTTACCTGGACAAACAATATACTATGCCACTCATGTTTTTGAATTTGGACTTGATAAGCTCTATTATATCCTTAACAACAGCTTTCGTTTTTTGCCTCACTTCGTACTTCAAATTAGGCCGGTTGAAACTTTGTAAAAACCTGAGTTAAAAAAAGAAGCTATGCATAAATATTTACATTAATATTTCACTCAAGTGCAGTTTCTCTCCTAATTACCTAAATGTATCCATACAACTTTCGAGAATATTAAAAATGTGTCATATCTTGTTGCTACAACATATCTGCCAACATTAGATAAAATAACGGAGAAATAAAATAACAGAGATTTTACTAGCAACATTTTTTAGGCTACGAGTTAAGTTTCGATACATCATGCTTAATCATGAAAGTCAAAAAGAGAAATTCAAAATTGGAAATAATATAAGCATTTACATTTAGCGAAGTAAAAAATATGTATAAGAATCTTTATCTAAAGATTTTTTTAAACCATTAGCACTCAACATACTGCAATGCTGGTAATAGCACCATCTGTTGAGGAATAAGAGAAGTATTTTTGCCATTAGTGGATATTTTATTTCCAAATTTTTTTTTATTTCTTCAACAAATACGGAGAAATTTGAGAATATACAGGTAAACAGGAGATAGTCGTAAAATACAGGAGTCTTTGTTTAAAAACAGGAGACTTGGCAGGTATGGTTACAGTTTTACCAAAGGGCAGAAAATGTATAGTTTACAGTAATATCTAAATTAACAGAATATAAAAAGTTTGGAAAACAAATACATATTACCAACAGAAAACTCAACGTTCAAACAAAACTTCTTCCTTCTAATATATCAGAAATGTCTAATGTGATGATATTCATTGCATGTCTTCCCTCTCGACCTCTTTTATTTATTATCTATTAATATTTTAGCACTTTTACTTTGATTTGAGTTTTGATTTGAATTTTAAAATTTATTTAATCTTATCTTCTTTCTCATCTAATTTTCTGATTTTGATCTTTTTGAAATAAGCTCTAAATCCTTCCAGAACATTCTACATTTTTTAAAAGTTTATCTATAAGTAGAGGTTAAACGTAATTTCAAGAATGAAAAATGAGATTATAACTTTTTTTTATGGAAGTAGACATTCCTTTCAATAAGTTATCTTGCAGATGAGGTGATATTGATTAAACGGTTTCGATTTGATTTGTAAATTTTGTGCGAACTTTTGTGAGAGAATTTTATGATATGCACCTTAAAGTCATTTGTGTCTAGCATCTGTTCCTTCTTTTGAGAAAAGAAAGGAAAAGAAAAAACGATTAAATATCTCTGATTTACTGATCAGGAATTTCAAGACTTCTCGTTTCTTGGATTTGTGCTGCATGCTTTACATCATTTAACATCATTTTATTCTATAGTTAATTAATGAAAAATTAAGTATTTTTATAGAAGTAAGTTTAAAAAAATTCAAGTTATTATTTTTATTTATTTATTTCCTTTTTTTTGCCTTTCCACAAGATAGATTCCTTTCGGCACACTAAAATGAAACAAAATAACCCCCCCTTCCCCAAAAATTTACTTCATAAACTCAAGAGTTAAAACTAGCATGTAACTTATTAAAAATAGTAACTTTTAATGATAAGGAACGTCAATGTTAAAAATCAATAAAAAATGTTACAAGACTAATTTATAGTTAATTCTGAAATTTCAAAAAGGTGGAAGATTCCTCAATATCATCACTGGTATGCGGGCAAAGAGCCAGGTTCTTCATTCACCCACAATTGTGACAAAGCTTCTAAAACTGCAATTTCCAGATTAGCAGATAATTTCTAGATTAGAAAAGTCTCTCGTTTTTTGAAGGCAGGAGAATCTTCAAGGTCTGCTCCAAATGTCACACTGAGCAGGCTACTCCCAAACACATCCCTGGACTATTTGGGACTTTCCAGTGAGGACAAATACCCATCCCCCCTTTTGGGTCTCGATTTCTTTAGGGTCAACGTTCTGGTGGACCTTGCCTGACTTCGTCAGATATTTGGAGGATAAGTCACAACAACAACAAGACTAATAAAAAAAGCTTAATAAGACAAGATTCTTAAGTGAATCAGGAGTCCTTGTATATAGATATAGAAATGATAACATTCTTATCCGTTTGTATATCTTTCCAACCATTCAATATTTAATATTAGTTCAGTATCTAGAATTTCCTTTTTGGTCCAAATCATTTTATTAGTTTATGGCTCTCATTTTTTTCTATGTTTGTATCCAAAATTATTTTTCAACAAGAAACAAACAATTAAAATTCATTAAAAACATATTATGAATGTTTTTAGTTACAACTTTTATTAAACTTATAGTTTTTGCTTTGAAATACGATTAAGAAAGTTGTTAAAATATTTTCCACTTAACATAGAAAGTTTGCAGTAATAATAAAATATTGAGTAGTTAGGATGACAATTTACGATACGATCTGAAAAATTTAATAGCTAAATTTATTATAATTAAAGTGTGTTTTACAATCAATTTAAAAACAAATTTATTTAATTCCAATTGGAGTTTTGTTAAGTCAGAGATTTTTGTGCAGCCATGTCACAATTTTTGAAACTTATTGGATGCCTTGTGCGTGCTTTTTTCTTTTCTTTCTAAATCATAAAATTTTACTCTTTTAAGGACCTACTGCCCCAATATTAAAAAAAAAATTAATGATACACACTTTAACACAAAGTCACAGTTTCCAAATTTACATTAAATTGATTTTTTGAAGAAAAAAAACTAAAATTCTACTCTACATAAAATTTTCATATAAAATTTATGCCCCAAAATCAATTGTTTAAATAATATTTTCTATTTTTTAATAAAAGTTATAAAGTCTTATTTTAGTATTTTTCTTCCATAATTTCATAGGAATCGAACCACAGTTACAACATCTATTTTTAAATATAAAAATTTTAAACATGTAGTAAAATAAAGTGAGCAGCGGATAATTTAAATTTTATTCTTTCATAAATAATACATTTTTATCCTTTCTTTATGGTACAAAATATTTAGAAGTGAGGATAATCAAATTAAAAAAAAAACTTTATAAAACAAGCCATTCAAAAAGTAAATTAATCGATTTAATAAAGACAGGGTACGTATTTGAGTAATTTTTTTTAATTAGAGTTTCTATAATTTAAAGTGAAATAAATCTCATGTAGTTTTTAAATAGAATGGAAATTCATGTANAAAAAAAACTAAAATTCTACTCTACATAAAATTTTCATATAAAATTTATGCCCCAAAATCAATTGTTTAAATAATATTTTCTATTTTTTAATAAAAGTTATAAAGTCTTATTTTAGTATTTTTCTTCCATAATTTCATAGGAATCGAACCACGGTTACAACATCTATTTTTAAATATAAAAATTTTAAACATGTAGTAAAATAAAGTGAGCAGCGGATAATTTAAATTTAATTCTTTCATAAATAATATGTTTTTATTCCTTTCTTTATGGTAGAAAGTATTAGAAGTGGGGATAATCAAATTAAAAAAAAAAAACTTTATAAAACAAGTCATTCAAAAAGTAAATTAATTGATTTAATAAAGACAGGGAACATATTTGAGTAATTTTTTTTAATTAGAGCATCTATAATTTAAACTGAAACAAATCTCATCTACTGATGTTCTTTTCAAACATTATAAATATTCATAGTTCATTCTTCTCACCAAGATTTGTTTTTCTTTCATTGTTCTTGTCCTTTGTCTTATTTAGTGTGTAAATTGAGACAGAATTAATGTTTAGCTATCAGAAAAGCAAAAACCTTTTTTTACTCATCCTTTTTTTTTTTTTTTTTTAACAGATTGTTAAGAAAAAAAAAGAAGAGTTTTGTTTATTTTGGTTGTTAAAAAGTGTCTGGAAAATAGATGCTTTTGGTATACAGATGTCTGGAAATACAACTTCCTATTGTATGATTTATCAACAGAAAAAGTCTTATCAGAAGAAATAAAAAATAGGAAAGTGTAATAATAGAAATCAATACAAAATTAAATCAATATAAACGCATTTGAAAGTGATTATATTCAATTTACTTTTTTATCCTTTTTACCAACAAAGAAAACATTTTTTTTTCTCTTCATGCCTATGGGTGGAAAAATTTGACCCTATCTTGAACTTTTTTAAGATAAACAATATAATAGTCAAGTGCAACTATTTCTAAGCATTTTACTTAATTTTACAATTGGTAGAACAGCTGTCCCATTCTTCGGTTTACAACTATCAATGTGCAACTCAACAGCCCTATAATTATGAATCCAACCCAGAAGACAAGGGAACTCCAAGCATTAAGACAAACTAGTCTTCTTGGAGGACTTTTGATGGAACTAACCTGCATTTGTGTTACATGGAGAACAAAATCACCAATAACTGACATGGTTGGCCTAAAGGCAAGATGATACGAATCTATAATACATCTATAACCGAGGTAAATTTAAATTAGCACAGAGACCAGTACGAGATAGGAGCAGAATTTGTATCGAGCAACCATCATTGGGATTTGAACCTGGGTTAACTCCATGCAGGGTATCAGCTACATTTTAGATTTTCAAATCTATGACCAAATCCAAGAATTTTTCATAACTTAACGAAATTACTATTTTTTCCAACAAAAACACAATAAATTTAAAAAAGCATTAAAATAACATTAATTGAAATGATAGGCATAACCAAAACTGTTATACTCTGCAACTCCATATTTATAGATTTTAAATTTAAAAAACAGAGTAATGAAAGAGTTGAAGCAATAAAATAGCTGGAAAAAATACAAAAGCAAATATTTCTTCTTCTTTTTTTCTGTAGAATTATGTTCTAAAGATACTTCTCTTGTTCGTCAGAAAGAAAAGAAATACTCCTGATTTTTCTGCTCTCATTTCAGAATAAAAAAATTTGCTAATGATTGGTTTGCTTCAACTAGAATTTTAAANATCAGAAAGGAAAGAAATACTCCTGATTTTTCTGTTCTCATTTCAGAATAAAAAAATTCGCCAATGACTGGTTTGCTTCAACTAGAATTTTAAATTGATAAAATAAGAAATATAATAACAAAAATTCTGAAATCACAGAAGTTTAAAAGATAATTCACTCTAGAAATGATGTTTTTATTTTCATTTTTTGACAGAACACCATAATTTTTTAAGAACAGGATAAAAACATTTTATATTTTAATAAAATATTACTGTGAGTGGGGTTTTTGTTACAAATTCAGATATTTGGAATTGGAACACCGTGAAATTGGGAAGGCGGCAAATTCCATTTTAAAAATTAGATTTTTCCGTCATCCAATTTCATGATTTTTGTTTAAAAAAATAGTTAAAATCATGACAAATTTTGTTCAATATTGAAATTCATGACTTTCCAGGTGAGCAGATACCCCGACAAGGGCAAGATGATTCGAATCTATAATGCGTCCACAACTGAGGAAAATTTAAATTAGTACAGTGACCAGTGCAAAATAGGAACAGAATTTGCACTATTGGGATTTGAACCTGGGTTAACTCTATGGGAGATGATGTTTTGAAACAACATATAAAAACATTTGCTTCCATATAATTATTAAAATATACCATTTAGGAGAGCCCATGCCCAGTTGATGTAAAATGTCCATCCTCACTCTTTGTGTAGCTGTTGCAGTCAGAGCCATTATTGGGACTTTTGGAAAGTTTACTCTTAAAACACTCAATCTCTTGTAATCAGGTCTAAAGTCATGACCCCACTTTAAAAGGAAAAGAAAGAAACAAATTAAGAAAAAATAAAATGATCAAATGGACAATCAATTAAAAAGAATTAATGCTTAAATAATATCACTTATAAGCAACAAGAATTTTAAAGTGCAATAGAGTATAAAAAAAATAAGGTATCAAGTAATTAGAAAACAGAAATAGGCAAAAGTTCAAACACAACTAGAAGTCAAGGCTATTATTTAAGTCTATAACACCTAAATGAGATATATAATAATGAGAGTAATTAATGGGAAAAAATAAGATAAAGTTAAAAGAATAATGAAATTTCTGCAAAACCATTTCTTCTCTTAAGTACATGGAAACCTCCCTTTTTTCAATATCAGACAGACATGACTACTTGGTTTTAAAGTTTTAATTAAAAATTTTTCTTAACGGCAAATTTAGTTTAAAATTTTAAATAGAACAACAGCATAATCATTTTGGAGCAGAAAAAATGCGTTTTGGTGCCAATTTTTTTTTTTTTTTTTTTTTNTTTTATTTTTTTTTTTTTTTTTTTTTTTAATGGTCTTAATATTCTGAGAAGCTTAGTATTCACAAAATTAGATTTTTAAGCATATTTCAGCAGATAAATTAATATTTTATATCATATTTAACAGAGCTTGGAAAAAAGAGATGTAATAGAAACATAACAAAGAATTATTTAAATAAACAAATAATTATTTTTTAGAATTTATTTCCTCGGGCTTACATCATATTTAAATAAATGAGCATTAGAATAATTAGATAAAAAAATTTCAATATTTTTTATTTTATAGATGTTTTTGAACAGCCGACCAAATTTTTGGGATTTACGACTACTAATGTTCAATTCCGTAGTCTTGTAGTTTAGAACCCAATCCAGAAGACAAGGGAATATCTGGATCAAGTATTGGGAGACATTTGCCTTCGTGGAGGACTTTTTTAATGGAACTAATGCACATTGGAGAGAAAAACCACGTAAACCTCCCATGGTTAGCCTGACTGCAAGGGGACTCTAGACCATGATCCGTCGATCACTGAGGATATTTTAAGTCAGCAATGTGGTCAGTGCAAGCCAGATGCGTAATTCGTATCCACCAGCCATCGCTGGGATTCAAAGCTGGTTCACCACACTTGGAAGGCAAGCGCTCTATTTCCTGAGCCCCTACAATCATCTATTTAATTTCAATACATCAATATTTGAATTCCCATTTTAAATGAAACTTACTGATAATAATATACAAAATCTTCAACACACAAAAAGAGCATTGTGGGGCACACAGCCCTGATTGCAGTTTTTTGTTCATTTACACAAGGTTTCTCAAATGACAATATCTTCAATTTTTGAACAGCTGGATCCCAGACATTTTCCTCACAAACCCACATCCTATTGTTTTATTTCATATTTTCATGTAGTTTGTCATTTTTTGATATTTTTAACTTCATATGATACAGAATGTTATTAAGACCCTTAAACTTTGCATTGGAGCAACGACTACTTGTTAACAATTTATTTAAGAATCACTTTTTGGCATACCTGATTTCATAGTAATTTTACGTATTAGGAATAGCTTTTTTCGGCCACTTTCACATGTTTTTTTTTTAAATTTTTAATTTCAATATTTTAAACACAATATTATTGCATATATTGTTATGAATTTTAAGGTTTCACTTTTGCACCTGGTCGATTCAGGCCAATTCTGTAGGGAATCCTTACCATTTAAAGATTTTTTTGTGTGGATAGATTATGTTATGACAATAGTGATTTTTGGCTGTACTTTGGAAACTATAGATTTTAGAACTCCAGTATTTCCATATTTCTGGTACCTTTTTACAAAAAGCAGGTCTCTATTCAAAATAGAATTCGCTCATACATTGATCAATATGAACACTCATAATTTTTATCTCTATCCGCAGAAAAAACAATATAGCAGGGTGCGTAGTCAAATCTTTCATCTTTCCAAAAAAAAAAATTTCCCTTTCTTCTCCAAATCTTTCCAAAAAAAAAAAAAATAATAAGCACCTTTTAAGTACTTTTTAAGCACTGAAATAATATTTTGAAGCACTATATACATTAGCAAAATGCAAAATAATTTTCAAAGACTTTAGATGATCATGAGAAAATAACTAGTTTCTTACAAAGAACTCTTTTCTTGATTTTATTACCCATTATCAAGAGATTTTTCAGTTCGATATCAGAAGGTGGAAAATGAAAATATTACGTGGCAAAAATCGACATGGTAACTCATGTTTGAAAAGGAAAAATTAAGCACTTTAAAAAAAAACCAATGAAAAAAGCACCTTTAAGAGCTTTTAAATAACGAAAATCGAAAATAAACATCTTTAAGCACTTTTTAAAAACTCTACGCACAATGTATATTTCAAAACAAGAAAAGTTTTGAACATTTGAGGCTATTAATTTGGACTGATCAGACACCTGCCGTAAGTAAAAGCAATATAATTTGACAAAATAAAAAAGTTTTTAGTTTGTATGCATTTAAAGCTTGGTTATAATTTTGCTTACATATTATTAATCTGCTGGCACATTATTTTTTTTCCCTGTCAAAGAATTATGCATCCCAAAGGACGAGTCATAACTCTTATTTTTGTAGCTACGATTTTTGGCATGTTTGACATGCTATAATAATGCTCAGGTAGAATCACAGGACAAGTGAATTTTGCTATTTTTGTAATAATATCTTCAAGCGCTCTATTCTATGAGAGAGAAAACACACCTTAATCAACATTTACGCAAAATACAAAAATTGCTTGCAGGTATGTAACAACAATAGTGGTTGGTGAAAGTCACAACTTTTGCTTAATGGATATTATTAGAGTTTTGGAGCAATTTTGGGAAAAAATGGCATTTTAGAATAGGTTGTTTCATTTTATTTTATAACCGTCATTGTACAAACAACCCAGTTTAGGGTTTACGGCTACTAACGTTCAACTTCGCAGATTTGTACTTTTGAACACAATCTAGAAGACAAGGGAACTTCTGGATCAAGTATGGGGAGAAATTTGCCTTGATGCAACTAACCTGCATTTACTTTACATGGAGAGGAGAACCACGAAAAACTTCTATGGTTAGCCTGACGACAGGGGGACTATAACCCATGATCCATGTACCACTGAGGATATTTTACGTCAGCACTGTGGTCAGCGAGAGCCGGGTGCGGAATTAGAATCGAGCAGTTACAGTTGGGATCGATCCCGGGTCACCTCACTGGGAGGCAAACGCTCTATCCTTTGAGCCATCACGGCTCCGGGGCTGTTTTGTTTTGGAGCAATTTGAGAAGCTCTGCTTTTATTTATTTCAAACTAATCTGTTCATAGAAATTTTTCATTCAACATGATGCTCCAATGTAGCGTTGTACCTTCTATGCAATTTTAACTTTTAAAATTGTGATTTGTAAATTTGTTTTTTATCTTACCAAATTTTAATTTTTCTTAATATTTAGGCACCACAGCAAACATGCTCTGACACTCGCAGAAAAAGATTTATATTAGCACTACGGATCAAAAAAAGAATTTTTAAGTGTGCTTAAATTTATAAAAATATACCTGGCTAACACAGTGAGCTTCATCAATAACAAATCGTTGTATCATATTTCTTGAGTATAGGTTTTCCAGGCAAGATTTTAATTTTATACTTGCACTTATCTAGAAAAAAAATATTCAATTTGAAAAAGAGCAAAAAATGATCACATCAACAGTTCAAATCAAACAAATATACCTCACAATTTGACTGGAAAATTTTCTTGAATATTTAAAGTAAATTTTGCGCATTATTATCTTGCTTTTTTTAAATCTGCACAGTGCAAATTTTTGAAGAAAGATCACATTTTGTAACTGATCTAGGATCTCACAAAACATTTTTTTTTAAATAGCAAAAGGGATTAAACAAACAGATTTCCAAAGTTTTAGAATGGAAATGATAGGGTTGCCTCAAACATTTACTTTCATTTAGAGTTTAGCAAGTTCAGTTTAACAAAATATCTCAGTATTTGATAAGACTTAATTAAACCAAAATAAATTATAATTGAAGTAAACGCGCAGAAAACATTAAAGCAAATTACTGAAAATTCAACAGCTGCTTAAACTCAGCACATTTGTTTGATTAAAACAGAAGCTATATAATTTAAAAATTTATTACAAGATTTTTAAGAGCAACTGTTAGAACTTTTTTTCTTAATTTAAGAAGTTTTAACAAATTAAAAGGTTATAAATATTATTTTCTTGTTTCAGATAAATATAAAGGAATACAACTAAATATTAACTATAAGTTTTGATTCATAACTCAACAAAAATACTGAAAATTTTATGTTGGAATTACATAAAAATTAAAAAGTTCGATACAAGGCATTTTATACTCAGCCGTATTGATTATTTAACACCTGAAATGTATTTTATTTTTCAGCTAATCATGATTAATTGAATTAAGAATAGTAAGTAGAAAAATTATAAAATGCAATAAAAGTTTTGAGAAGAAAATTGGCGTTGAAAGAAAAATGAGACATTTTTATGGCCCATAAAACCATATTTAAATTAAAGACCTTTTTAAGACAGTGCAGTATAATAGTTTAAAGACAGTATTGAACAACCATTGATTGATTTATAAAATGAAATTCATTCATCTCACTAATTAAAACAATATTGGTGTTTAAAAACACTTTTTTCGGTTAGTCGGAAATTTCAAAATTTTATCTACTGGCCATTAACTTGAACTTTCGTACTTATAAATAACCAAATTTATAATTTTTTCTACAAATAAACTCACAGAGAACTGATCAAATGAACGAAAGCATAAGAGAAAAGTAGTTCCCCAGTGTTGGACTCTCATCTAGACCCTACACTAACCTTTACTGTTATTATTTACATTAAAAGTAAGTGTAGGCCTTCATTGATATTTCAGACGGAGCACCAAAGGCACAAAAATTATCAGATTTTTTTATAAAGACTGCTCACAAATAAAGTTACAGGAGTTTAACATCTATAAACATGCAGTTCTATGTAATTATGCTAATTGGCTTTATTTAACATAGGAACAAAAAATAAAAAACATTCTTAATTTATTACATTTTTACAGCACCCAAGTTTAAGAGAAAATAATTCTTTTTCTGCATTTATAGTCAATTCAATGGCTTAAATTTTTAACACAAACAAGACAAACTATCAGTACAAAATAATAATAATTCCATTAATTTATTTTGAGTAACATATATTTTATCCACATCTTATTTTGAATACTTTTTTATTAACTAAATAAACAGATATTTAACTGTACAACTTAGAATGAAATTTCTAAAACCTAATTTAATATTAATGTAATTATAAAAAATTGAATAGTAATTCATACCATAGATATGATAAAATTATATAAAAGCAGTTTCTAATGTTTTATAATGATGCATAAATTTAATGTTAAAAATATATTCAGAGCTTGATTTAGAAAATTTAATAACTTTTCCAAAATAATTGCTACATAAATAATTTTGCTTCATAAAAACGGATAATTTTTCAGAAATGAAATCAATTAATTTCAATTTATAATTTAAATTTTGACAATCATATGAAAAGTTGAGCACTTGTAACAAAAATTTGATTAATAAAAACATAATAATTTTGTATAAATAAAAAAATTATTCATAAGGTTTTAGAAGTATGAATTTCTGACATTCTGGATAGACTTTTACTTGATTTTTCCATCCTAATAACAGGCACATTATGCTCTAATAAAAAGTTAAATGCATTTCATTAATAAAGTTAATTTAGGTTAATTATATAACAATTTCAGCTACATTATCAAGCTAATTTATTGTTAATTGTTTGGAATTCTTTGCTTAAACGATAATAATTAACAATTATTTTGATTTTGGTATAACCTATTCATCTACTACAATAATATGTGGGAAAAAAAGAATTTGAAAAAAATTTGGTTATTTTCAAGTGGGGGGGCATCCGATATAACCTATGTCGTTTGCTTGTTTTATCCAAGACCATCTTAGTAAACCCTGCAAAAATGTGACAAATTTCCTTAGTTAATGGTAAAGCTTAGCAAGATTTACTTGAAGCTAACTTAAAATAGTTTTTAGTCATATATCAGAGATCGGATACGGCATCATATTTTTAACTATCAATTAAGGCATGTGTAACCCTGCCATAAAAAATTCCAGAGAAACTACAAAACAGCTTATGGTCTTTTTATTTTATTTCGGAAAATTCATTACACAGCTCCAAGCTACACTGAAAATGGCAATTTATCTTCAAACTCACCAATTTAATTATCCTTGGGAATTACTCGGAAACAGTTTTAAAAGCAATTTTTATGTTTTGTCAAACTATTTATGTACCATTGGTGCATCATTTTAAAATAGTTTCACATTATTCAAAAAGAGAAGCACGATCTACTGTAAAAATTTATTTCACCTTAACATCAGATTTTAGAAGTTTTGCAATGTTTTGATACTGATCTGATTATAACTGAGTGGATTTAGTTATTTTTTTAATAATTTTAGGAAGTACTTATAAACTACTGCCAGTGTTCAACATTTAAATGGGAAATGCTTCATAAATCTGGAACTTTTTATATTAATCTTTACTTGTAATTAGCAAAAAATCTTCCCAACTGGCTGGCCAGCCAATGTAAAAAGAAATCAATTGTTTTCTTTTTCTTAAAAAAAAAAAAAAAAAAAAAAACAGCGGGGGGACTTTAGGGACCACAAGTCACAAAAAAGTGGAGGGAAAAAAAAGCTACTTTAAGGGACCAACTCTAAACGTACTGGTGGGCACGCAAATTACAGGGTAAATAATAGCTTAATATTGACTTTTAAAAACTAATGAAGTTAATAAAAAGTATACTTCTCACTGTATTATAAAGGATTATTGACCAGATTTGACACTTACTTTTTCTGGAGTTACATATAGTAGTTTAATGCCAGGCTCTCTTGATGCTAATTGAACATAAACATGGTTAGAAGTAGATGTATCAGTATCTCCTGTCAAACTATATGCAGGAATCTGAAAGTAACAGTAACACATTTTAGAATTTTATTACACAAAATTTAAATACGCACACAGTATTCAATAGTCTGTATCCTTATGGCAATTTAAGAACATTACCAACCAAGAGTTAAATTGTTTGGGTGATCGCACAGTCGGACATCAGGCAGCAGAGTTATCGAATGAAGCGTCACACTGAGTCATTTAATGTCATAGATTAGAATTTGTATTTATTTTTAAATTAGAGACAATCATAATACACTGGTGAAATAAATTAATAGAATTGACATATTTTTATGAATGTCACGAAAAGAACTGTACTGAATGTAAAACCACTGCTTCTAGACAAAAATGGAACTCTTTGTACATGAAATATGTAAGTGTACATGCGTGTAGTAGAGAAACAGGCTTTATAAGTGAGCATAAGTTAAGAGGCATTTCGTTCGTTAGCACACCTCGGCGAATTTCTTGGTGTTATTTTGCAGCAATAAGTTAAATTCAAATCGTAACTGTAAAAACAAATAACCATCAACGTTTAGATGATGGAATGAGGCGGCGAATGGTGTCGGGAGGCTGGGAGCAGGTCAATCTCAGGTCCAGATTTGTAGAGAGCTGAATTTAATGCCCAGCGTCAGGTGTAACTTATGGAAACAGTTCCAGGCTACGGGATCCATCGAGAGAAAGCTTGGGCAAGGCCAGAGAAGATCGCCATTTGTCCATTATAGCAAGGCGTTACAGAGGGGCTACAGCATCTCAGCTCTCTCATGACTTGTATGCAGCCACAGGAATCCGTGCATCAAGGGAGACTGTTTCCAAACGACTTCAGGAGAGAGGGTTGTTTGCACGAAACCCTGCTGTTTTTATCCCACTCACTTCCACGAACTGGAGAGTTCGCCCAGCCTGGTGCAGAGAGCTTAGAGATTGGAGTTTGAATCAATGGGCAACCATTCTCTTCACTGATGAGTCCTGATTCAGCCTAAACATCAATTCTTGCCATAATTCAGATGGAAAAAAACAGACACCCACTACCTACCCTCCAATGCCTGCGAAATTGACCATTATGGCGGAGCAGGTTTAATGGTCAGGGCAGGCACCCTGTTTTATGGCAGCACATCTCTCCATGTCTTTGAAAGAGGCTCTGTGACTGGTATGAGGTGTAGGGATGAGGTCTCGGAGATCTATGTTTGCTTTTTCAGGGGTGCAGTTGGCCCTGAGTTTATTTTAATGAACGATAACGCGAGGCCACATAGAGCTCTTCTGGTTGACAAATTTTTAGAAAGTGTGGATATTTGCTGGATGGATTGGTACAATTGAAACCCGTGCTATATCACTGCAGTTATATTTGAAAGCTTTTATTTTACCACATCCTGTTTTTAAAAAAACAAAACAAGGGCCTTGTTTGTTTCTTTCTCAATTTCAGTTATTTGGGCAATATAATTAACAACCCAATTTTTTCCTAGAACTTTTCACACTTGCAAAACTATCTATAGCAACATCAAACGATTGTTGCATGTCGCTATATTTAGTATTTCTATGTAATTATTAGGAAAACAATTGTGACTTTAATAGAAAATTCACATTTTCGTGAATAAAATATACACATTTTATATGGTGTTTATCAACGCATAAAATATGGATAGGTCGTAGTACAGCAAAACTTAGATTTGCCAATTTTTATGTTCGTTGCATTTGCTTTGATACTTGATATGCTTCCCTCAAGGGGCACATTTGGCTTTGCGGACTTTCTGTACATTTTCTTTGACAATCATGCAGTCAGATCTACCAGAAGTCTGGTAAGAAAGTTTATCAGATGAGTAGAAATTTATGACAAGTTTTTCCTTGTTTCATCAGAAACTTTGTTACTAAGCTATTTCTTTTGTTTTGGAAGTAAGAATACAGAGTATGCATAGAACAGTACAATACTTTCTTGGAAATACAGGTAATGCACGGTTTGTTTTTGTAATAGCTTTCCCCCAATGCCAAAGGAATATTATAAAGAGAATATCCTTCCTGAATTTCTACTGCTTGCATGAGTGCCTTTTTATTTTTCTTTTGTCTTCGTTTTTTTTCTTCTTTTTTTTTTTCAATTAATTTATTTCTCTGTTANTTTTTTTTTTTTTTTTTTTTTTTTTTTTTTTTTGCAGAATTATATTCTAAAGATACTTTTCTTGTTCATCGGAATGGAAGAAATATTATTAGATTTTTCAGCCACCTAAATCCATGACTTTCCCTGATTTTTTTTTAAAAAATAGTTAAAATCATGATATTTTATGACAAATTTTGTTCAATACTGAAATTCATGGCTTTCCATGTATTCCATGTATTCCAGGTATTTCTTTCCATGTATTTCCAGGTATGCAGATACCCCGTTTGGAGCATGAGATTGAAGATCCTTACTCTTTATATTATTTTAAATACCTTTTAGATGTACTATTTAAACACAGAATTGCAAGCAGCCATTAGTTATTAAAAATAATGCATTTCTAAACTGAATGAAAATAAAAATGATGCCTACATCAAGTGAACACAGTTTCTGTACTTGGTCCATAATTAAAGAACGTAGAGGGGAAACCACAATTGTCACACCATTATTCACCAAAGCAGGAAGTTGGTAGCACAGACTTTTGCCTCCACCTGAACAAGAGACATACATTTCAAGACTTTTAACAAATATGTTTTTAATTTTACATGATCTAAGATTTTATGTGCATAATGATATAGTAATTGTAAAAAAACTTATTTTTAACAATATTCTCTAATGTTGCACTAACAATAGATGTGCCAATATAAATGGCAAATACTTTTTATAATGGCAAATACTTTTAGTGGATGACACTTGATGTTAATACAGTTTTTTTCAAATATTAATTCATTCATTAAATTTAATTAATTAATTCTACTTTAATATGGGAGAAACTTTTTTAATTATTCAATTAAAAGTAACTAAAATAAAATTTTTCATAGTTGACTTAAGTAGGGATTGACTTTAATTTTATTTATTTAAATTTTTTTTTTTAATATTACTTGTTAATAATATGGTGCAAGAATGCTATCTCATGCATATTTAGGTATAGCTAAAAAACCTTTTTTTACTCAAGCAAATATAATACAATCAATCCCACTCTTGTATAATATCTAGTGTGACATCATAACTTGATAATTTCACAATAATTATGAAATAAAACAACGTTTTTATTAAAAAGTAATTTTTATTGATTTGTTTTAATAGAAAATATTTGTCACATTTTCTTAAGCAAAAAAATGTGGTTTTCAAATGGTGGGAAAATGTGGCAAAAATTTGATTTATTAAAAAATTAATTTAAGAGACATATTGAGACAGAATTCAGTCCATTCATTTTTTTCCTACAGACTCATTTAAGCCCTCAGGGCTGAAAAATGGTACCTATGTATCAGTAATCAGAAATATTTTTAGATGTACTCACTACTTAATTCTATAACATTAATAAAATTATGCAAGAATTTATTATTAAATAAAAAAAGGTACCAAATAAAAAAAATATATACTGCACCAAAATCTTTATACTTCACTGGAAAATATTAAAATTAAATTGATTACTCGGCCCCATTGATCTAGTTTTTCGTTAAATTAAAACTGGTAAGCATTTTAAATATTCCTTTTTTTAATATTTATTTACATCAATATAAATAAAATTATATTTTACAATCAAAGGAAATAAAAGAATTATTTGTTTGAAACACTCATCCTTGATGAGTCTAAAAATAGCTTATTGGAAGCGAATGAGATTCCTTTGCTTTTTATTATTATTTCTCGTTTCAATCATCATTGATTTTAGAAATATTGCAAAATTTCACAACTCTTCGTAGCTCATGGGAGGAGGAATTTATTTTAAACAAACTATTACAAAAATTCTTTAAAAAGTACTGTAGTAGTGATGTAGTCTTGGAGTGTGACTGTAGTCTCGAGTATGAAATCTTAATAGTTACATATAAACCATAGCAGTTGGCATCTCTGTAGTAAAAACAATGGCCAAAACTAGTCTTCATAAGAAGTTATGTTTTCAATAGCATGGTGATGATGGGTTCACATAAAGTTTTAAAGATGGATAAAAGAAGCATTAATCTTGCCATGGTAAAGTTTAAAAAAAAAAAAATTTGAACTTAAATATTTCATTTTGAACTTGTAAGTCATTGATATAGGTTTCAAATAAAATCTAAATACTCCCTGCATTTTTACAATAACAGTATTATCATAATGTAGGTCTCACACATCATATATTTAGATTTCGCAGCCCATTATTAAAGATTGGTGGTGTATTTCGTGATAAGACTTAAATTTGTTAAATATGTTAAAAAAATAAAAAACTATCTTTTCAAATCAAAACAATCGATTATTGCTTCTCAGATTAAAGTTTGTTTACCTGTAGGCATGAGAACGAAGCAATCTTCCTTTAATAAAGCTGCATTGATAGTTTCCAGTTGATTATGACGAAAAACTTTCAATCCAAAAATATTATGAAATATATTAATAACATCTTTTGAAAATAAAAAGTTAAAACCCTTAAACTCTGGAGAAGCGCCGTCATCTCTTTGATTTCCATAGAACTTTCCAGCAATAACTAAAATATGAATAAAAACAAGATAAGAACAAAGAATGGAGGAAATTTTAAACCAGTATAGTAGGTTCTATATTTGTGAATAAATAAAGAACAATTTCGAAAGTAAGCATGTGCAGAAATTGATTCAGGTTTAATTTTTTGGAGTCCTCTTTTTGCATAAATTTTTTTTTTGTAAACCTGTATCAATACTACTTCGAAAAAATACTACACCAATCACCGAATCTTCTTCAAGTAATATTTTTGATCGCTCAATATATTTGCAATTTACAGTGCAGGTTCTAGCTATCAAAATTTTCAGGTATTTAAAAATTCTTAATTTTCAGTCAAATCAAACAAGCTTTAAACACCAAATTAAAAAGATTAATGAAACAACTTGAGATTTGATAAGTTCACTTCTAAAGAGCATTTAAAGACAATCAAATAAAAAAAAACTGTGTGAAATTATTTTAAGTGTGTTTTCAATGTTTTTCCATTTTTTTTGGAAAATTGACATTTGTCAGGAACTTTTTTTTACTGAGGGTGGTTACAATTGCTTTAGCTGAGTTAGAATGTCACCAAAAAAAAAAAATACTAATGAAGAATGAATGAATACCTAGCCTTACTTTCTAAGTATAGTAATAACCTCTGCTCTTATCACTCTGTTTTTAGCCACCTGCTAATTCAACAGAAACTGAACTTATACACATTCATCGTTTTTTTTCTCTTTCAACATCATTATTTTTCCTGAATAAGTGTCATATGATCAAAATAAAAATAGAACTTTTAAAATGCTAATATTCCAAAAATGGAAGTTTGTTTTGAATTAATATTTTCATTTTAAAATAAAATGTTAACAGTTACATTATCCAATTAAAAGTTCCTAAATTATTCGATTGTTGGTAAATCAAGTGCAAGAAAAATTAACAAGTTATATTATCTTCCTAAAATTCTTTAAAAAAATGAAATAATTAATGAAACAGAATCAAACTAAAAGCAGAAAATACTGTGCAAATTTTTTTTTAATGTATGCAAAAAAAAAAATTATTCTGACATTAAAATTGTTTATTATACTAAATTCAAATTTAAAATCTGTATTCTAACATTGGAGCATTGACAGGTAAAATATCACCTGCACTAGTTAATTAACATTATTACCCAGGTCACCCCCAAGTATCATTAAGATGAGTCCTAGAACATGAAGGTTCTATCATTTGATCAAAAGCTATTCAGTGTGGTCCATTTTTTTCTTTCTTTTTTTTGCACAATACAAATTATAGAACAGTTAAAAAACAAGACAGTATTTTTGACATTAACAGTGATAATGCTATAATAAATTAACAAAAAATAGCACAAGTGAAAGATATTAATGACAATAAAAAAGTTTAAGACAGATAAAAGGTAAGAAAAATGCTTTAATGAACTTACTTTGATCTTTATTTGAACTTAAGCTTTCATTCTTTAAACTGGTTTCATTTATCAACTCTAAAAAAACAAAAAGAAACACAATGAAATAAATATGGTTTGCAATTGGAGATTATCTCAAATCATATATTGAATAAAGAAATTTTAAAAAAATAATAAATAAAATTTAAAAAAATTTTTTATTAAAAAATGAAGCTCCTTCACATTTACATAAAATAAAATTACTATTAAAAATTTATGTAAAAAAATAAAAAGGTGTTATACAACCTATCAAACTATAGGTATTTTAAATGTGTCTTAAAATGATAAGTCACTCAAATTCCGCACTAACAAAACTGTTCGTCATAATTTTAGTAAAAAATAATCTTTCCCCCCCCGTAACATCAGGTACTGAACTTTCGTTCTTCACCTTGGAATATGCCGGAAGTATTGCTCATTTAACGTTACTCAGTGGGCACCTATGCACCTAAGTCACAGAGGCGAGCAACATTACCCACGCCACAAATACTCGTTCATAGGGTGGGCCACATTCACATAACAGATGACAACACATAGAGATAAACTTCCATGCCTAGAGCGGGATTCGAACCCGCAGCCATTGGCTTCGCAGTCAGGACGCAAACTGCTCGGCCACCTGGCCGGCTAAAAAAATAGGAAAAAGCTAATCTTTTTAATCCTAATACAAGGAAGCTTCTCTGGACTAACGGCTGTACTGAGTGTTAAATTGAAGATTCAGACAAGCAACACATCACTGAATTTATTTAAATATCAAGGAAGCTTTTCACAATTTCTAACTAAAACGAGATAGTAACAATACAGGGTTACCACTCAAATCTGGAAGAAAAAAAATTCCCTGCGAATATTATACACAACATATTAAGAGGAAACACAACTATTGTGCTGCAGTGTGAGCTATATTGGAATAACTATACTAATTTTAATGGAGGGAAAAACTTAGAAGAAAAAATGAACATACTTAAATAATGCTATAGTAAATGAAATAGTTTAAGCATGTCACTGAAAGGTTTTCTATTTTTTTTAAATAAAAAAAAACTATTTTCTTAGAAAATAAAGCAGGTGGATGGATTAAGCCAAGGCTTTAAGAACAAAGGTATTTTTTTTAAAAACAATTCACAGGAAATTTCTATCTTCAAACGATTTACTGCCTAACAATAATACAATGTAGTTTCCATTATAAGTAGGAACTTCCTGGCTCACATTTAAAATATTTTTTCAAAAGTTAAATTAACGCTGTTGATAGAGTGGGATAAAAAAACGTTGAATAAATATTAAAACATTTACGACTATTACAGGGTTCCCCCTCAATTTCAAAATAAATAAATAATAATAATAAAAAATTTCCCCAACTTTTCCAGTTATACTAGGCAAATTTCAACAAAAATTGAGACCAGATTTTCCTCAGAAAACTTTGTTTCATTTATTTGTAATGTGAAAGATTAGATTTTCTGTGTAAAAAGATACTATTAATTGAGGAAGGGANAAAAGTTCACTATATCCAACTTCCTCCCTTTTTTGGTTCACTATATCCACTAAAAATAACATTATACGCGTATAGCAAGGCACGGGACCGAGCATTTCGTTCACTATATCCGAAAGTTCACTATAAGCCGTGTTCACTATAGCGGGGTTTGACTGTAATAATAAAATAAAAATTTCCCCAACTTTTCCAGGTATACTAGGTAAATTTCAACAAAAATTGAGACCAGATTTTCCTCAGAAAACTTTGTTTCATTTATTTGTAATGTGAAAGATTAGATTTTCTGTGTAAAAAGATACTATTAATTGAGGAAGGGAACATTTCAGTTTGACTAAAATGTGAAATTTTTACAATTTGTAATAGACATTACAATTATTTAACTCAAATCTCAATAACTGATTACTACTACTGAGAATTTTAAGACTGTTTATTTTCCAGGTATGATATAGGAATATTCCAGGTTTTTGTAAAAAAGGCAATTTTCCCTGACTATTCCCTGATTTTTGGAGTTAAAATAAAATTCCCTGACAATTCCAGGTTTTCCCTGACCCGTGGGAGCCCTGCTATTAGTTTAGCCATATAATTACGAATAGTTTAATAAGAAATCCCTATGTAAAAGAGCTGGATTAATAATAAATTTTGTCAGTGCAATCCGTTAAAACTGAAAAAGTTATTGAGGTGGGTCATATCATCAAAAATTATACGAGAATGTAATTTTTAAAAATACCCTTTTATTAAAAATTTTAAATGCATAAAGGACTGTAAAAAATTAAAAGTATGTTTCAATTATTAAATAATCAATAAATAATTCAAATCTTGATGATTAAAAAAGAGAAGATTAAGCCCATAATAATTTTTGTGCTAATGCTGACTTTTGCAGAATTCTTCAATCTTCCCAGCTTGAAGGGTAGTTTATATGTAATTTAATCAAACAGTCTTAACGATTAATTAAGTTACCTGAAGAAATACAAAACCATGCTTTTTTCTGAATAAGCATACACATTTTTTTTTCAGAATTCTAATGCACAAAATGTTGGGATTAGATAAAATGTTTAAAATATTTGATGATAAATAGCCATGCTTAAAAGATAGTCTTGCCTCTTCACAACAGATTAAATAATTTCATATTAAGTATGCATAACCTGAATTATTAACAAAGCATTATTTCCCCTTACACAACAGTCGGGCAAAATGAATCATAAAAGTGATCTAAATCAATCAAATCAGTTCGTTCTCATAAGTTCAAATCAGGCATTTGAAACACTCATTCAAATTGCTATATCAATACCAAAAATAAAGATTACATTGAAGAAATTTTCAAATAAAAAAACCTTTATTACATAAATATATTGATAATTAAAGTACAGAGCCAAAAGTAGTTGCAATGATAGCCTCCCAAAGTCAAAAGTAGTAGCCTTAATAGTTTTCCCAGCAATAAATAAAAGTACTAAATATCCGATTTGTACTAAATATTTTACTTAGTTTCGCTTTGTACTAAATATTTTACTTAGTGTATCATTGAAACATATATATTTCATTTGTTTATGAAATTAAATATTTTATTTGGTGTATTATTACTGATTTATTATTTAGTTATTTGTCAGTATCTACGTTCTTTTTATTTAGTTACCTGTATCCACACTGTATTTTTTTAAGAATGCATCACTAGATTTAACTCTTTAATTCGGAATCAATATATGTTTTTTTCAAATATCCCCCTATTAATAAAATTAGTCGCCAGATTCCTAAAAATAGTCACTTAAAAAAAAAATTAATAGCTTTAGAAGCAAATGGCCATATCCGTTGCCAATGGACGCCCATGTACTAGAAGCAGTAACTTGTGAAGTAACGTTTAAACAGAACAACAGTCTTACAACAGAAAAAAAGTACTTTAAACATTCAAATAACTATTTACGCTGCAATTCCTTTTATACACAAATATAAGTTAAAATCAAACTAAAGTCAGTACTAACCAGTTCTTTTTATCAATGAAGCCAATATATCATAATTTAGACAAATATTGAAGTTGAAGAAGAAACAAAGGATATTTAATTATTCATTTTTTCCAAAAATGGCCTTACCTGCTGAAAATTGATCATTGATATCAAAAATGCTTTGATCAGCCAGAATATCTTGAGTTTCAATATTTTCAATTTTTATGGATACATTGTCTATACTGTTATGATTATTAGATACAGAAGGACGATACTTTGCTTCACTTTTTACAGCCCATTGATTTGATGGGCTGTTCATGGAAGTTCTAAAAGAGGAAGGTGACAGATCAAAATGAAAAGCAGATTTAACATCTCCACAACTACGTGGATCTTTTGGGTTTTCGATATAATTCGATGCATGAGGGAGAGGGGTAGAGGAGTTTTGGAGAACAGAATCCTTGCACGGCTCAATTGAATCTCGCTCACATTTGATATTACGAACTGGGGGTGACACACTGGAATGACTCCAATTGTGAGTAGTTTCAAAGTCTAAATTTGAAAATTCCTTTGACTTTGAAGTATTTGAACGAAACAAAGAACATGGCTTCACTTTCTTTGGTGACCCAGGTTCTTGCTTTATTTTGCTTAGTGTCATAGATTCTTTTGAAGATTCTTGAGATGTTGATAATTGTTCAGTCAAAAGTGATTGTTTTAAAACTTTCTTCCTATCAAAATAAAAAATGCATTGAATAGTAAATGTGCATTAAAGACTTTATAAAATATTTTCATAAAGTCATCACTTTAATGATAAAAAGTTCAAATAGAAAAAGCAATATGAATTAGAAATTTGCAAAAAAGACTTTATAAAATATTTTCATAAAAGTCATCACTTTAATTATGAAAAGTTCAAATAAAAAATGCAATGAATTATAAATGTGCATCGAGGGATGATAGTGAGACCAATTCAAAAATCCCGAAAATTTCTTGAGTAAAATTATTAATGATACATTTTAAAAAATTAATGTCTTTATATCAGGCCTGTAGCCAGGGGGGGGGGGACCATCGGGACAAATCCCCCCGAAATTCTGGGATTCAAACTTTTTAGTCCTTCTTTGTAAAAAGTAAGTTTCTCAGTAAAAAGAAAAACAAAAACCTTTTCCCAGTACACCATCTTCGCTAGTGCATAATCTTCACTTGACCTTGTGGCTCATCTTTCCTTCGGTTAGACTCCTCCCCCAAAATCAATTGTTTTACAGCATATTAATTTATGCAATTTCAAAATCTACGCAGATTTCATTGACATAGAAAACCTCATGGGAGAAATGGAAGTATGGGCAACAAAGTGGAACCTGCTTGAACCCCTTAGTAGACCAGATACGGCACTTTCAGCAATGGAAGAATGTGACAGTATCTTTTTCCTAAACATTTATTGCTTGTTATCAATATTGACTATGTTGCCAATCACCACAGCAACTGAAGAAAGAACTTTTTCTACTCTTAAACGCGTAAAAACAGCAACAAGAAATGCTACTAAAGAAGAAAGGCTAACAGGGCCAACTTTATTAAGCATATTTCGGGATATTCTGGTTTGTCCTAAAAAAGTAATAAAAATTTCTTTTTCATATCCCCGTCGCATGTCTTTGTAAACTTTGTTTACAAATTGATTATAACTATTATGTAATATTAATTGAAAAATAATTACTATGTAATATTTTTTTATTATTAGTTTAACTTTTGCAAACTGAATAAACAATATTTGTTACATTGTTTTCCCCCTACTTTGCATGTCTGTAACCGTCCTTGCTTCTTACCACATCCCCCCTCGAAAAAAAAATATCCTGGCTATGGCCTTGCTTCATATATTTAAATCAATGAAATTTTCAAAACATGAAATTCTAGATAAATTATATGTAGTTAAATGAATAATTATGTATAAGTTAACTTTTATCTCTAATCACATTTATTAATACTACCAGAAAAAATCTTTACAAATGAAAAATATGTCAAGTATAAATTCTAGTTCTAATATTTCTAAATAAAATATACAAGAATTTTTATACATAAATGTAATTGATGATTTCTTGAAACTTCTGGACCTTGGATTTCCAGAAACTTCCAAATCGCAATTAGCAAAAAATCCGGAAATCCATATTTTTTCAGGAGCACAATCATTTCTGTGAATCAAAGTCTTTATAAAAATATTTTCATAAAGTTATCACTTTAATTATAAAAAGTTCAAACTGCGTTGAGTTTTGTAGGAAGAAAAAAAAAACTGTTTGAGAAATGATAATACAGAATGATTGGCAGGTACAACAGAATAAAGCAAGCATTAAGTATACTAACCTCATATTCAATAAATAGCTAAGTTTTTCATGCTTTCCAAAACAACCTTTGTTTGTCTCTAGAAAATCACATATTTCAGTCATAATTTTCATGTTCATATTTTGAAGTGAGTTCAAAACTGATGGCATGCTTGCTTCATTAATATCCTTAAAGAATGTTTAAAAATATATTTCCAAAATAATCCACAAAATAGTTAAAACTATACAAAATTGATTTTTAAATAAAGAAAATATTGATCAAATGCAAAAATATAAATCAATATGTTTTACTTAATAATGCACTGAATGCATTTAAAAATTGGTAACCTTCAATAGCACCAGATGCTTAGTTCATTACTGAAAAAAGGTAAACTTTATCTTCAGATTTCAGCATAATACAGTGCAGAACCTCTTATCCGGAAATCAGAAAACCGGAATGAAATTCGGAACCAGAAATTAATTTTCTTCCATTAAAATTTTTTTGATTTTAATAGTAATATTTAAGTTTAATTTTATGAATTGACTTAACATATAGGTAATTAAAGTGTAACTAATAATAAATACAAATAAATTGGTGCAAAAGTCTGAAAAAAGTTTCTTCTGACAACACGATAAAAAATTTTATATATACTCACATACATCACACATTTAAAACTTATTTTAAATACACAATTACTTTTTATTTATATTTTAATCTTAAAAATAATTTAAGGAATTTTTTTTGCATAGAAAGCAAATCAAAGGCACTGACTAATCAATGGCCATACAGTTAAGTTTAGCCAGCAAGGTGACTCTCCAGTTTCCAAATGAAGTTAGTTTTTCTCCCATAGGTTCATTTTTCAGGATAGACTACATATGTCAATAGAATAGCTTTTTTAACAAAGAATAAAAAAGAAATACCTAGTATTTTAGAAAACCCTAAAAAAAACACTTATTGGTGGGTTTTACTGGGTTTTTCAGAGTGGGTTTTACCCAGTAAAGTCCACCCGCGTTTCACTGGGTAGGTGGGTTTTTTTTTGTTAATTCTTTTTCGACACCGAAAATATCTGCTTTTTCTTATATTACTTAGCACTTACTTATAAGGTGAATTAAGCAGAAAAGGAACATACACATAAAATCAGAGAAAAGTGATTGGCCCTATTTAAGTTTTCATTCAATGCATTCATTATATTGACTTAAATATGTAAAAATTACAGAACTGGGAAATTAAATAAGTGCATAAAAAAATCAGATTATTGGTATATCTAACTTAAAAATTAAATCTTTAATAAAAATTATTAATTGGGTTCAATATTTCATAAATCAAACAATTAAAAAAAATGTATAATTTTAGGGAAAAATGCTATTTTAAAATTTTTTTCCAAAAGTAAATTAGTATGCAGTTTCTCCTCGTAATTAATCATTTTGATAATTGTGTGATCATATAATTCTTAATATCGAGCATGGAAATCTGCATTTTTTACGAAATTTGATAGCATGAAAAATTAATGGACAATTTGAGGATTAGAGTTACGAGTGTCTCAGACATTTCCTTGACTTTAACGTCCAATCTCATATTCTCTGATTTGTTCCGAAATTCCTGGTGCACTTGAACCTTGTATAAGTCTACTAATTAAAAATTAACTTCAATACAATAACTCAGATTTTTCTGTATAAAGAATTTAATTTCATCAAATGTTTTAAAAATTAAATTTAACAAAAGTAATCAGTTAACAGAGTACTGCTATATATATTTAAATTTTATAACAGTCGTTGAACAGCTAACCCAACTTTGAGTTCAACTCCATAGCCTTGCAATATTGAACCAATCCAGAAGACAAGGAAACTCCTGGATCAGTACCCCCAGAGGTATGATTTGTTATGGGAACATTGAGGACTTTGTAACTTGACAGATTTAGTGTGCATCATTCCCTATTTACTACACGGGGAGTCTATGGCCTGGCCGACGGGGATCGAACTCATGACCTCTATTTCGTCCTTAACATTTTTAAAAATAAATTTTACTTAAAAAGGATAGTTCAACTCACTGAAAGATTATTTTCTTGAAGAAGAGATGATTGTTCAAAGCTTCTTATTTCCTTCATGTTGTCACATAATGGAACCTATTATGAAACAGACACTAAACACTGGTGTTTAAAATTAAGAAAATTTGCATTATTTGTTGAATCTACTGAAAACAACTGAACAAGGAGTTAAACTACTGCTTTGAAACAAAGATGTAAATCTTGTGTCAAATATGTAAGTGTATACATCAGTGGGCAAAGGAATAGACTTGATAATTTAAAAGTAGATGAAGGTGCCCGTGTTGCAATTTGGCAGCTTCGATGCAATCCACTCACTTGAGATTATTATGTCAATGCCTCTCTACTCTGACAATATTCTAGATTATGAAATTATAAACAATAAAAAAAGTTTGTAGCACAAATTAGCTTACGTTTTTACTTGAAAGAAATAAGTTAAAAAGAGTGTGCGTAGGCAAACCTCTCAAAAACAATAAGCACCTTTTAAGTAATTTTTTAAGAACTTATGCAGCAGAGTTGCACATGAGAGTGCAACAATCTCACCGAACCCAGCTCAGTGTATATGCACATACGGACTCACAATTATTTACCCTATCAACTTTATATGTAAATATATGTAAAATGATTGGTGCTTTCATGCTCTGTATGGACAGACGGTACGCCAAAATAGATTGAATGAATTCTGAAAACATTGAATAGAACAATGGGAAAAGCCCGCTTTTGCATAATACATGGCGAAAATGAAATACTTTTTAAAAACATCCAATGAAAAAAGCAGCTTTAAAGGCTTTTAAAAAACTAATACCGAAAATAAGCACCTTTAAACATTTTTTAAAAATGCTACGCACCATGTTAAAGGAAGAAATTAAATAAACTTTGAACAAAGACACTCCTGCTCAACGGTAATTCCCTCGTACCTCTATTCAAAGACTTCATACTTACTAGATAAAATGAATTTGATACAAAGTAATATATTAATTTGATATAAAATGAATTTGATATAAAGTAATATATTAATTTGATATAATAAGGGTATCTGCTACATTTTAGATTTTCAAATTCATGACATTTCATGATTAATTCGAAGAATTTTTCATGACTTAACAAAGTTACCATTTTCTCTGACAAAAAACACAACAATATATTTAAAAAAGCATTGTAATGTTATTAATTGAAACGATAGGTATAACCAAAACTGTTATACTCTGCATCTTCATAGTTAAAGATTTTAAATTTTAAAAACAGAGTTAAGAAAGAGTTGAAGCAATAAAATAGCTGGGAAAAAAATACAAAAGCAAAATTTATTTTTTTTGCAGAATTATATTCTAAAGATACTTTTCTTGTTCATCGGAAAGGAAAGATATACCCCTGATTTTTCTGTTCTCATTTCAGAATATAAAAAATACTTCAGCTACAATTTTAAATTGAGAAAATAAAAAATAATAATAAAAATTATGAAATTACAGAAGTTTAAAAGATAATTCGTTCTAGAAATGTTTTTTTTTCTTCATTTTTTGAAAGAACAATAAAGGGAGGTAAATTCCATTTTAAAAATTAGATTTTTCGACAACCTAAATCCATGACTTTCCACGATTTTTTTTAAAAAAAATATTTAAAATCATGACTAATTTTGTTCAATACCGAAATTCATGACTTTCCATGATTTTTCATGACTTTCCAGATGCGCAGATACCCTGTATAAAAAAATAAAAAAAATAGTTAACACTAAATAAACTCACTGTGAAAAACTAAATAAGCAACGAAAAAAACTTACTTCATTCGATCGATATGCTTCCTTGGATTCCTTCAATTCCATTGTATTGAATTCGTCTAAAATTGAGTAATAAAACAAGAATAGAATAAGTATTTACAAAAAGAGTTGATGATTTGTAACCGACAAGAAATATTCACAATTTTGATTAAAGATGTGACAAATACTTTGAAGATAATGATAATTATGTTAGACATTTTTTAAAATATTTTTTTAAATTCAGAAAAATACATATAATTGAGCAAAACAGCATAGCAGCTATTTCTCCAAATACTATGCTGTTCAATTATTGCAAATGATGTGCTTTATTTGTGCTGATTTCATCGTAAATACGTGATTTTTTATTGTTTTTTTCAGCAGTTATTACTATGCGTCTCTACGTAAATGAAAAAGTTCTGATTATTTTTAATACGCTATTACGACACCTAATTCGAATCACGCAACACTTTTATAAAATAAATTTAGCACTTTTTGAAGTGCTCGTTAATGTCGATTATAAGAGGTTTTTTGAATATTTTTTGGCAGCTATTGCTACACTTTTCCATGTGATTTGAATGTTCTGATATGTTAACGCAATAATAAATTTGATTTTGTTTCAATTTCTTTTTTGAAACTTAAAAAATGCTTTAAAATTGAAGCATATTTCCAACTAAATGTTGAATCTTATTTTGAGCTGTAAGGGTTTTGTTTTAATTAAGTACTTCAAATCTTATAAACTTTCTTTAAATTACAGTAGTTAGCTTGCAAACATTAACTCGCAAGAATATTAAATTTTAAAAAAAAATAATAATTATAAGAACATTCAAGTTTTTTGTTAGAATTTATGTTAAATTTAATTTTGTATTATGTAATCTGATTAAAAAAAACTTGACGTTTTCCATTGTTTCTATTTATATCAATTAATCTTATTTTTTTCTGATAATTAACTGCTTTTTTTAAAATAATCATCTCTGCAGTCTTTAATTCTAAACATTTAAACATTAACAACTAATTTAACTAAGAAAAAGAATTTAGTGCCTAGAACAATGATGTTACATAACAACGATGTTTATATAACCTATAATTGTTGTCAACATGTCCGTCTAAATACATGGGCATGCAGCCCTTTACTGATCAAATCTGCTGTGCACGTGGCCCTTTACTCAAGAAGTTATGCACCTCTATTTAACAAACTCGCAAGAATATTAAACTATTTTATTTAACCATATTTATTATTTTATTTTAACCATATTAAATTAACACAAGTAGACTGCAAAGCAAAATATTGGAAATTTTTAAATAGATTCTAAACAGAACTTGGGTTTTTTCATTTAGTGCTCAAAGTTTTACTGTGCAAATATTTTTATTTATTGAATAGTGTTGTATAAGCTTAAAAATAGAAATAAATCTAAAAGATTAATATAAAATCCATATAACAAAATTAAAATTAGTTTAAATAACGCATTATCACTAATACATATTTGAATCTTATTTATAGTTAAATACATAACGTTTCTCAATTTTTAACTCAAGCATTACAAAGTATAAATGCAAGAGTAATATGAAAGGAACAAGTTTATTAATCTTTTAGTTTTCACACACGTTTATTTACCATATTTATTAAGCATATATATGACCTATTATAAATTTATAATCATTAAATATTTATAATCAGTAAAAACTAAAATTTCATCTGACTTTTAACCTTAATAAAATAAAACTTAAAAAATTTTGTCTAATGGTCTTCCATGTTTTTATTATAAGATAAATAGAAAGTGAAATTAAAATTATGTATAATTACTAGGAGTATCAGTTACTTGTCCCATTTTTTCAAATATTTAACCTTAGGAAAAAGGCTGCATTTTTAGATAAATAATTTTAACTTTATATTTTTAAATTCCAAAATAAATTAATCTATAAAATTATGAAAAAAGTAAACATAAAAAGTTTCAGCTTACTTTTTAAAAACCAGAAAATAAAACTGTTTAATTTGTTAATGTATCACATAGTAAAAAAGATTATTTCGTTTCTTTCCAATTTTTTTAAACGTTTAAAAGAAACAGAATAAATTATATTCAAATAAAATCTTAAAAATAATATTTAAAATGAGTATCTATTTTTTAATGATAATAAGCTTTTTCCAAATAGTTAAAAATTGTCAGCAGATGTTAAGAGTTAACTTTAAGGTCCAATTTTTTATTATTATTATTATCATACACTAGATTCAAAGTGTCCACATTTCTCTCTTAGATGGCGATACACTTTTACGAGTTTTGTAGCTTTATCTATTCCTAATATATTACATAGTTTACTCGACACCACACCGAAGTGTAAAGGAAAAAAAGAATTGACAGAAATTTTGTGGAAGCTTGGAATTTTTTTCCACTTTTTTTTGCCATAATTAATTAGGAAAAAAAAAAACTATCTATATATAATGAAGTTAATTTTAAGTTCTAACCTTAGATTAAAATTTTAGTTAAAGCAAGAAAAAAGAGCAATTATACTAAAGAGTCATAAAATTTCAGCTTCTCCTTATATCTATAAAAATTTGTTTACTGTTTAAATTTGTTTGTTTATTGTAATGCATATATAACAATGCAACTGCATTTTTAAAATTTATGCCTTCTTATTAAATTATTTCAAGTCAAACGTGTGTAAATATTTTTAAAAATATTTCCTTGAAAAAACCTGTTATAACAGATAAAAAAAAATGTTTCAACTTCCTTTATAATTTATGAAAAACCTGTTTATTAATCATATAAAGCATGCAACTGCGTTTGAAAAATTGATCCTTACAGAATATATTATTTAAATTTCTATCTGATTTAATTTCATTAAAATATTACTTTTTGAAAAAACTCTCCTAAAGTTTTCAACAGTAATATAAAATTATAGATTCAGGTTTCTTCAACTTTACAAATATTAAAAACTCAATTATATAAAGCACGCAACTCTATTTGACAAACTTATGCTACACAATAAATTAACTAAAATTAAATGTACATCAATAAGTTTTAATAAAGAGATTTTTTTTTAATAAACCCCACTTAGCGTCCAAAGTGGGTACTTTCAAGGTGGGCCTACCCATTAAGAGCCGGGCGGATTTTTTCAAAGTGGGCCCACTTGCCGAACCCTGAGTAAAAGTCAAATGTTTTGTAAGAAGATTTCACTGATTTAATGATTTTTAAACCTCAGAGTGATTTTGAAGTAGAGCATGGAAAACATTTTATTTTATACAATCTTAGAATAAATACCTACAACTCTTCATAGAAAATCAAAAAAGCATGTTTTTTTACTTTAATCAGGTATAACAAAAAGCTTACACAGTAAATAATAATTTCGTTCCAATTATTTATAGAAAAATGAGGGTTATTCATCATTTCACAAATGGCCATTAAACAGCATAATAAACTTACTGTCATTTATACTTTCATCATCACTAACAATTTTCTGCACACTTTTTCCTTTAGAAGACACAGGTAGAACATCGTTCTCATCATCAGTAAATAACAACTCATCATCAGACATGAATATTTCAATGGAATCTGAATTTGTAGAAGTTTTAGTTATACCTAAAAATGAAATTACAATGGTAAATAAGTATTTATTTCATATTTAATTCAGAAATATGTCGTATTTTAGGACTAAATTCCAGTCATTCCTAAAAGTAAAGTAGAGTAATAAAAAAATACTTTTACTAAGATATAAAAAAAAGTTAATTTTAAAAGTCACTTCACCATATAGATTAAACACTTTAAAGCAATAAGAACATAAATAATAATTTATTAGAACATTTTCCTGGCACCAAATTTAAATTTTAGTATTTTTACTAAAATGAATGCAATAATTGACATCATTAAATCTAAACGAATCCAAACATTTCCTGTTTTGCTTTCAACAGAAAAAAAAAATTGTTAGCATAAGATTGCAAAACCAAAAACTATCAAATATTTTCTATCTTAATTCATTTTAGGCCAAGCATAGAAATTTTATAAAATGTGGTTATATTTTCATTGAAATATGTTTACACCATCTTCATTAATACACAAAAAAAAAATTATTCTTGTTTGAAAAATTATACTTTATATAAGATATAAAATGCTGCATATAGGCACCAAATTAATTATTTTATGCAATTTGTTTTATTATTTTTTTACTTACTAACTTGAAACTTTAATCCATCATAAAAACATATAAATCTCAAAAGGATTAATTATACATTTTCAAAAAATTTTGTTTGTTAATAACCATTTTAAGTAAAAAAATTTGAATAGTTTAAAAATTTCTTAATAGAAAGTGTTTATTCTAATTGAATTACTTATAATTTATTTATGTCTTCAGAGCCCTTGAAAAAGCTTAAAAATAAAATTAGCAAAAAATATACGTCACAGTGTTAATAATATTTTTATTGAAATGGTATGTTTGCGCACCTTTGGCCGAAAAATATGTTAAAAGTGGAGGTGGTACGAAGCACAGTTTGGCCAAAGCTCCAGATATCGAAGCTTCAGCCAACTAATGGCCGAAGATGGCTGCTTTGCATTGAGCTCACAGTAGCAAATTTAGTATTGAACATACAATTAATGTACATATCACTTATCTACACCTGTTTTAATATTATTAGTTTCATACAACATATTCAGCTTACTGTGCATGAGCAAATGAAATAAGGTTAATTATTCTTTTATATAATAGGATGATAACGTAGAAAACATTTTACAGTAGGTCAATTATTAACCTAGAAAACATTCCCTCGTATGACAAAATTTAAGTTATTGACTGAATTATTTTAACTCTAAAATAAATATTTAGAATTTAAAGTGGTATCTAAGGCAGATGAGCAAGTAATGGGCACCCTCCTCATATTTCGCAAAAAATTAAGCTTTTTATTTAGTTTTTTATATAGCTTTGAAAGTTTTATAATCATGGTAGTAATCTAATAGTTAGTCAGGGTGGGTAGCCAAATTTTTCACCAAAAAATAAGCACCTGTTATGTACTTTTTAAGCACTCAAAAATATTTTTATGCACTACATACATTAACAAAATGCAAAATAATTTCCACAGACTTTACATGATAAAATAACTAGATTTTAACAATGAACTCTTTCATTGATTATATCCATAAAAATATCGAGATTTTTTGGTTCAATTTCAGAGGGTGAAACGGAGCCTGAATCAAGAATATCTTGTAAAATGCAGCAGAATTGCACATTAGAGTTCTAGAATCTCACCTTGCGAGTCACACACAAGGGGACTCGCAAGTATTTCATCAAACATGAAAAATTATTGGTGCTTTTATACGCCATGGACCCATGATATGCCTAAATGGATTGTGGTTGAAAGAATTGTGAAAATGTTGGATAGGACAATGTGAAAACCACGCTTTTGCATAATACGCAGCAAAACTCAAAATGGTAAAGAAAAAAATCTCATTTTCAAAAAGGGATAATTAAGCACTATTTAAAAGCACCCCATGAAAAAAGCACCTCTAAGCACTTTGCTGAGAGGTGCTTAAAAAACACTAAGCACCATGTAGAATATGCTTGTAACTAACGTAACCAGAACACTTTCTTAGTCAAATAGGATGAGGAGAACAAAGATTATTCACTTGTTATTGAAGTTACATACATGGAAAAAATAAAGCAGGATGATTGTCCAGAATAAAAAAATAAAAAACTCACCAACAATCTCTTAAAAAAATTTATGAAATAATCACCTTTATTTGACTCATTAACCTTTGTTGGATTAATTGAAGAATTTACTTCCACGGGTGTTTTGTTTGCAGAAAGTTCGGTAGAACCTATCAATGAAAAAGAAAACTGTCATCAGATAATAAAATTGGATCATTCAAAGAAATATCTTTTTGTAATATAGTGGAAGCTTGGTTTTACAGTGTCCGTTATCCCGCTTCTATTTTCTGCAGGGTTGTGAAAATTGCCTACACCGGGAATGCTAAAATATTCCGGATTTCGCATTACCTTCTTAAAGAAAATCCTGCCGTATACATTCAAAATAATTTTTTCTTCACAAAGCTTGCACAAACTTTCTCTGAATTTTCTTTTTAAGAGAGATTTGTTTATTAGCTGTTTGTAGTTTTTTTTAAACTTAATTTCTATACTATTTAATTGTCCTTTTCTCTGTTAGAGAATGTATTTCCTCCTCAAGTTAAAATCAGAAGGGTGGTGGGATGATCAAAACAAAGGAAGTGTGGTTAAAGGAAGTATGGGAGCTTAAATTGAAAAATTTGTGAGTGTGGAACAAAATTGCAAGTTTGAAGATCTTCAGAAGTCGATGATGCAACCCACATCAAATTACTTTTAAATTCTTTCAATATAATTACATAATAATATAATTAAATTCTTTCAATTCAATACTGAGGCATTAATGTATCATTTAATGCCTGCTCCCGATGATAGTGATGAAAACAATGAAGATGAGCAAAAAACAGCGGAGGATATACCCACAGCTAAACAAGAGTTTGAAAACATAAAAACTCTGAAATATTTGTGGAAGTAAACCATCAAGCAAATCTGCAAACAATAGTAAGCAATGAGAGTGATATTTTTAAAATTATAACTAAAAACAAAAACATTTAAAGATTACATATTTTCCATGGTACTTCCTCTCGCAAACATAAATTTTTGAAAAGCATGCTTAATTTTTTTTATCCCCATTTTACGCTACCCCGCTTCATCATTTTCTAGCTCTAGCCCAACGGAAAACGTACAATCGGGGTTTGCCGTATTAATCAAAAATATTTGTGTTTCTTCACTGAAACAGAAATATTTTTAATTAGTCATGAAAAAAAAAACCTTTCAAAAATAAGTATACAGCTGTGAACATATAGTGTATCAAATTTATTTACAAAAATTACCATTAATTCGATTAATTTCCAATAATAAAATTGATGTAAAATTTTTTTTTTCATGAAAGAGTAAGTAATATTTAATATGTTGACATGCAGCCTTTCAACATTACAGGAAAAAAGTGATTTTTTTTTTTAAATACATACATGATTTGAGAAGAAATTAAAAATCACATTTAAAATAACTTTACAAACATTATTATTGGAAATCATATGAAGTATTTTTCTACACCATAATTGTTTTATTAGAAACCACTAGATTCAGTAACAAAAACTACAAACAAAAATTTGGTAAGCTAGTAAAGAAAACTTTCATATTTTCCAAAAAACTTATTTCATGATTTGAATGATTACTTAAAAAGAAAACAGAAATAACTTTCCAAGTGCACAGATTTGTTAATGATGGTAATCACTGATTCCGAAACAGAAACACAGATACATAATGGAGAATTTGGGGGAAAAAATGTTTCAATTAAAAAGTAAGCATAGAAAAGATGCTTAAAATGAGCACTGTGATGAAAAAAAAATGAAATTTATTGACAAAATTTCAATACATTCGGGTCAATTTCAGCTACTAACTAATAACATCATTTACTAAAATTTGCCTGTTATACAAAACTTCTTAAAACAAAAACTAAAATTAGAAAACTTAATGTATTATTACTACTTCTCAAGAATAATAATAAACATTTGGTATCTTTTCAGCTCCCTTATAAATTTCAAAAATAATCTTGAAAGTTTTGCCTTGCAATTTACAATGATTTGAAAAAAAGACAGGTGTGAGTCATAAAAACTAAAACATAGTAGTTCATAAAAAAATGATTAAAATGATATTTTCAGATATAGTAAGTTGTTTAAGTCTACGCTGACCTCAGGTAGGTGAATAACGAAAATTATAAAATTTCTCTTTTTGAGTTGACCACTTGCTGACTAATTGGACCATTAAAATGTTGCCCAATAGGTGATCAACTTACATAGGTAACACTGTCAGTGTGCAAAGCCAGAATTTTCAACAAAAAATAAGCACTTTTTAAGCACTCAAAAAATATTTTTTTATTACTTTCCAAAAAAAATTATTATTAGGGTCTGTGCAGTAATAAAAAAAATTAAAAAATTCTATCGTTTAAAGTTCTTAATTTATAAACGTAAAATAAATAAAATTCAAAATATTTTCAAAAACTTCACATAAACATGATAAAATAACTAGTTTTTGATCAGTATTTCACAAAAATTGTGAAAATCATGCATTTTTTTCGTAATTTAGAGCAACAATCGATACGGCAAAAAGAAAAAAATCTTTTTAAAATGATAGAAAATTAAGCACTTTTTACAAACCCTGAATAATAAAAGCACCTTTAAGGGCTTTTAAAAAACGTAAATCAAAAATAATTACCTTTAAGCACTTTTTAAAACCTGACTGTAATAAAATACATTTAAAAAGGGAAAAAACTGAGAGCAAATTATTTTACTTTTTCTTGAAAGAGGTATTTCAAAATCATCTATGTCACTAAGAAAAATATCATCTTGGAAAAATGAGTTGTGGAAGTTTTCATCCTTTTTAGTCAGAGTTTCTTGTGGTTTAGAGTTGCTCCTAAAATCAACACAAATCAGATATGTGATTGCGGGTAAAAGAAATTATTCGAATTTTTTTTCTTGTACATAGAAATATGAAAGAATCATTTGTATGCACAAAAGCTAGATTTATAAAATTTAAAGAGAGAAAGAAAAAAACATCAATATTTTTTTTCTTATCAAACGAATAAAAATATTGAAAAAAATGACATGTTCTTCCTTTTATGCACATTGCTAGGCGACATCACATCCACACAAAAAATAAATAAATAAAAATTTAAAACTCGTAACATCCATTACAATAACTGAAAATAGATCAAAGAGGAAACCATGTGCATTTACGATGAAATCTCACGAATCGAATGCATCAACAAGGGGTTAATTGAATTACATTTCAAGATTCGAGTGTAATAATAAGCATTGTTGCATTAAAAATATCTAGATTTTTTATAAAATATGCAAAAATTAAGTGATAACTGCCACACAAATTGATTGGAGAAAAAAAAAGGTAGAATAATTGTATCAAATAACAAACACTCTGGTGCTTGGCAATTTGAATTTTCTGTATGATAATGTTGGGATTTTAAAAAATCATGAGAAGATCAACAGCAATAACCACCAAGTAAATAAAATTTTTAAAAATTTAATTGCTTAGTCCTATTTATTACTGAAAACAATAATATAAATTTGCATCATGGTTTCACTTTTTTATCATTAACTGTTTCCTTCAGACAGAAAATAGATTTTACATTTCTCATGTTAATCTAGGGAATTATAAATGTAATAAATATTTTTAAACAATTTTTGTTCATCAATCAGAGTTAAAGAAAAAAATGTATTCCTTTCAATGAATAAAATGAAACAAAAATTATTAAAAAATATTAATTAAGTTACTGAGTAAATAAATAAATTCTGTACACATAATTGCTTGTAATTTATGGTGGAGTAAGTATGACATCTAATAGAGGATCTTTAAAAGCTAAAGTTAAAATTTAGACAAGAGCTTGAAAGCTAATTAGAAAAGAAAAGACAAAATAAACTATTAATATTTCACACATCAATTCTAAATGAAGAAGAAAAATTTAATACACTTACGTAGAAAAAAAATTTGTGATAGTTTGCTTCTTCAGAGAGGCTTTAGAGTTATTATTTTGTAAACTATTATTAGGACAATTATTCTTGGCTGTTGATCGAATAACTTTCCTTTCAATAGACTGTAAAGGAACATCACTTTTGGTAGATGTAGTTCTTTTTCCAAGGCTTAATGTTTTCTTGAATGTAAATTGTTTTCTAAAACATGAATCAAATCACATGGAAAAAAAATTAGTAATTATATAAGCTAGTTAGCCTTGTGCATCCGATAATTCTATAAAAATATTAAAACAATCCCTAATTACTATTTATTTTCTTAGTTTTTTATTCAACTTTGATGAGTAAGTAAGCATAAATTAATAAATATAACTAAAAAAAGGAGTGTCTATTACACCAATCAGTTGGGTCAATAAAATTAATTTCGCTATTGCCTCAAAGCAAATTTTAACTAATCACAGATTGGGCTCTGTTTACATCAACTATTGACAACAACAAACCGTAAAATACAGTTTCAATAAACATGGTGGCCTCGATTGCTGTGGGATCACGCTTTTTAAACCTTTTTCTTAATAAAGAATTGAAAGAGCTCTCTCAATTGATGTTGTTTAAAGGTTAAATGCCACTGCCCAGAAAACCAACAATTGGTATTGAACCAAGCTCTTGCTCATATTAGTTTCAGTAAAGTGGCACTGTTACCAAAAATTGGCAAAATAGTGTTGGAAATAATTTACCAAAGATCGGTGAAATAGCCACTGCCAATTGAAAAACATTTTGCACTTTATTCATTGATTACATTTTTTTTAATTCATTATTTTGGCAGTTAGTTTTAAGGGAGATAATCTTAAGGAAGAAACAGGGTTTGCTGTTACAGTAATGTCAATTGGTATCCAATTGATTAATCTATTAGTCCAATTAGCCTAATCCAATCTATTAATCCAATTAAATTAGCCCAAAGAATTAAAAACTGGCCCTTCTTTAATATAGGGCAATGAAAATTAAATGCCCAATTTTGTAGATGTACTATACAGTATGTAATAAACATAGTTCAGGGGTGATTGTGACACTAAGTGCAAAACCCTGAAATTTTTGTGTAAAAATTCGATACAAATTTATATACCGTACATGTATCGACATAATTTTCCTTAAATAAGATTTATAATTATTTACCAATGATGAATGTCACACCTTAATAGTAATTAAATTAAGAAAAATCTTAGCTCTTTCAATAATCGTGATGTTGCATTTTATAATCGCGTGAATACAAATCGCAAAATCTGATTTTAAAATTGTGATGTACGATTTTTAAACCATGTGAATACAAATAGCAACCCATAACTATTAAGTGAGGTAAATACGAAAATCTATGCTTGATATTCAAACTGCGTGACTAGGAACTGTGATATTAGCTGATTCTGGCGCAGTTTCTAACATTCAAAATAGCTAGAATCCGCCAAACCAAAAGGAACTGATTGGCGGATTTTTGCCCATTGGCAGAAGAGTCACAGGTATATAAGCATCTCGTTAGCAACAATTCACAATTTGAATTTTTGATTAAGGAATTTTGGGAAAATTTCATCAGATTAAAAAGTTTTTGATCAGCAAAAGTCCAAGAACCATTGGTCTTTAGAAACGACGAATTCTGCAATATTCCCAGAGAATTATATGCCCCACTCCTAATTTTTAGACCCGGAAGGAGGATAGGAAAAACCCAGAATTCTGGGCTACAATAACCACTGATAGTCATTAAAAAATAGCGTTTGAAAAAAAAAAACGTTTTTTTTCTAGAAAAAATCCACACTTCTTAGGTTTTAACTGGTTTTTTATGATAAATGCAGGCTTCTTCAGAAAAAGTTTTAAGGCAATATTGTACCTCAAATAAATATTTTTTAATAAACTTAAAGAAATTATTTACTTTTAAAATCCTGTAAGACGCAACGCAATAATGGATATAAAATCGTGATAATACGAAATAAGACTTTGAAACCTTGACCAAATGAATTTTTTAAAAAAACAAACATGTAGAGGCCTACTGGGGGATATTTCTGCATTGTGATCTTTTGGGACAACTATAATTACCAGGGTGGCATACAGATTTAAAAAAAACAACAAAAAACATGTAGATCTTTGCCCAGGTGTGGCTACGTGTTATACCTTTCAAGTTGGTTCCTTTCTGCGATATTTTTTAGAAAGTTTTTCGCGGCTGCTGCCCAAAAATTTCCAAGACAGTGGATCTGAGGCAGAAAAATTGCAATTACTCTGCCACAGATTACGATACGGAAATCTTCAAGTTACGAGTTACACGTTTTGAGTTGGTCTTTTCCTGGGATGCTTTTTTTTTTTCTTCGAGTACTTCCGCGGGCTACTGGCCGGAAATTGCCAAGACTCAGCGATTATTCTGCTGAAGATTACGATATGGAATTCTTACCATTATATATTTCTTAAATACAGAATTAAACTTTTATGTCTTATTTTTTTAATACATCAAAAAAAAAGGATTTTCCTTCGCCCGTCTTATCGAAGAGAACCAAATTTAGTAATAGTATTTTCATTCAAAATAGAATAACTTCTGCTGATTCGACATAAAAATCAATTCATCCAGGAAAAATAAAATGGAAAAAGAGTAAAAAATAAATATTTAATTACGCATTAGTAATATTAGCACTTGAATGAGCACTCTTCTTTGATGCGGCGGCGAACCGAGCTAATTGTTCATCAAGATTGTTTAATGGAAGACTACCCATAACTTTTAAAATGTCAACAAAGAACACTCAAAGTTCTAACTTGAAAAAAATTAAACAAGTTTGGGAATAAGCCATTATACATTATAAACCATTTATTAATGAAATTTAAAAGAACACGAAATTGCAAGCAATTATATTTTCAACATATTATGTTTTGTTGCTTAAAGCGCGTAAAATTTAAAATAAATAGTAGCCGTAACGATAATGAGCTCTCTGCTGTTTTTTGCTTGTAGCTCGCTTTTTGAATAATAGAAATGTGGCGGTTATGGTTTGTAGTTGCTTATTCATGATCGCAACACTCGCAGCCATGGTCTGCGTTGGGACCGAGGGTGAATGGTACTACTCCTCATTAAACTGTTCTACTGTAAAGTGCTTGAGTTCACGTGTAGGTCGTCGGCTACCAAAGCGCGGGTGCGATCCCCTCTGCAGAGGATCAAAATTGTGATGGCATGTCTTCGGATCATCCTCAGGTGTCGTGTATTTAGCCGTTCGAGGCTATGTTTACGAACTATCATACCTACGCAATCGAATTGGGACTTTCCCTCTTTATTGTTGTTGTTGCTGTTAATTTACGCCGCACTAGAGCTGCACAATGGGCTATTGGCGACGGTCTGGGAAACATCCAGGAGGATGATCTGAAGACATGCCATCACAATTTTGATCCTTTGCAGAGGGGATGGCACCTCCGCTGCGGCAGCCCGACGACCTGCGCGTGAAGTCGAGCACTTACAGTTTAAAGAGGACCAATACCGCACACCCTCGGTCCCTACGCAGGCTGATCCAAGAGGTCACCCACCCCGCACACTGACCGCAGACAGTGATGCTTGACTTCGGTGATCTGCTGGGAACCTTGTCTAAACTATCAGTCCACTGCGGGACATAATTCTGAAATCACTTGTGTTGCAAGCAATTGATCGAAATGCATTGCTTATTGGAAAGCCCAAAAATATTGCGCCATCATATTGTTGTCTTATTGTTTACTATTATTAAATTTCTTTGTTATCATAAATGACTTCCTTATACAATGCATCCATTCGCCAATGAATCAGTCTGCAACACACATCGAATAATTTCCTAATCTAGTAACATCTTTTTAAATTGTGCTAAAGTTGAGAAATAATATTAACAATTATATAAGCATATTTTTCAGCACTATCCTTTTTAAAAGGGCAACTTTCTTAAAATTAGCGAGCAAGAATAACTGAAAAACAAAACAAAATTGAATTCCCATAATTTTTTCTTCATTTAAATAACAAAGCAAACAGATGCATTTCTTGCTGTACACACTTACGCATTTACTTTTCATTACTCATTTAAATAAAAAACAATAAAATAAGAGAATCAATAATTTATCTTCATTCTTCGATCAGCGGAATTCCAGTTTCAATATTATGGGTCAATATTAGGAGGAGATATAGGGCCATGTTTATTGACTTCGCATGTCCTCATTTAATTTCTTCATATATACGTAGTAACCTATATTTGTAATCGGTTACCTTCATACAGCTTGGCAGAAAAATCGTTATTTTGACCACATAGCTGAAACCTTCTCATAGTATTTATGAGCCTAAACATCACACTGCATTTGGTGAAGATAATCTGCCCCCCCCCGCCTTGTGATATATATATATATATATATANGTAATTTCTTTTATATAAGTCGATATTTTTACGTAAGTATGCAGATCATATAAAAATGAGCACAACATAATTAGCATATTTCTTATAATTTAAGAACAAAACCAACACTTTAAGTCTCTTTCGAATTAGTATAATCATTATTATTTTTTTTTCAGGAACCTTAACACGCGAATGAAAAGCAGTTCTGTTTTAGAGTCTCTTGCTTAATGCATTTACATAAATCACGAAAATCGTTATGGCTTTAAGACCTATAAACATTACCGTACCGTTGTTGCAATGTTTTTATTTTATTGATTATTAATGACAATATATATATATATATATATATAAACACACATTCTTGAAAAATTTCACGTTCATGTAAGTTCATTTGAATTCGCTGCTCGCTTTATAGATTTCATTTCATGCTTTATTCTGTTTTATCTTTATATTTTATTTTCTGTTTTTACGTGATATTTTTACTTATTGTGTTCTATTTTATTTGTTGTAATATTTTTAAAAAATTTTTTTGAGTGCTTTGCACACTATTGTATTGATCGATATAGTTTGCTTTGGCTATATTGATACAATATTAGAAAGCACTCCTTTTTGCGGATATAATTGTGTGAGCTGATGAAAAGATTATATCTTTTATTTTTCGGATTTTCCTTTTTTTTCCTTCTTTCGGTTTTCTTCCCTCAGTCTCTTGTTATTTTTATTATTATTTTTCTTCCCCCTTTTTTTCTTAGTTCTGCAATTTTTTCCTTGTTTCTACTTCTCTACATCTTGATATATATATATATATATATATATACATACACACACATAGTAACCTATGGGGTACACTAGCACCCAGTAATATACTACCTGGTCCAGTTTGAATATTATGGGTCGATATTAAAAAGAGATATAGGGCCATGTTGTAATACAGATTACTGACTTTGAATTTCTCATTTCCTCATTTAATTTCCTCTTATATATAGATACGTAGTAACCTATATTTGTTATCGGTTACCTTCATACAACTTGGCAGAAAAATCGTTATATTGACCACGTAACTGAAACCGTGTCACAGTATTTATGAGCCTAAACATCACACTGCATTTGATGAAGATAATCTCCCCCCCCCCTCCGCCTTGTGATATTACACTTGCATGGAATTTTTCTGTATCCCACTGACTACAAACAATTTTTGTAAAAGCTGTACAGAGCGGAATAAAAAACCAAACGACCCTGAACTTTTGATCTAATGGTCGAATTTTCGCATTCTAGGATTCAATCTTAATACGCCTCAAATATGCTAATTAGTTAGTGAAGATGATATTCTAAGTTACAATAATTACGTATGCTTCAAATTCAATTTCTCAGGCACTATCAGATCGATTCCGCTTAAATGTAAAATTCCGATTTTGTAATGCAAAACTGGATTCTTTAAAGTGATGTAAAAAAATTGTATACATTATAAGTTTAAAAAAACCTCGACTATTATTAAATAAAATAATAAAAAATGACAAAAACATCCTAAAAATGTTTCCTTTGCATGGAACTATCTTTGAAAAACGAATTTCATAATTGTCTGTAAAAATTTTTTTCAAATCGCTTATTACGAGATATGGCGAAATACGCAAAAAGCAAAAATAACATAAAGGGCTCCAAACTTTGAACGGCTCTAATAATAAAACTATTTCCGGCTACCTCCTATATTTTGGGGATCCTCGAAAAAAGTATTTGTTTATTACGTTTTTTGAGTCTGATTTCGTAACTCAAAATATCGTCTACACTAATTAATTGAGCCGTGATGGCTCAGGGGATAGAGCGGTCGCCTTCTAATGAGGCGAACCGGGTTCGAATTCCAGTCGATACGAATTCCGCATCCGGCTTGCACCGACCACAGTCCTGACGTGAAATATCCTCTGTGGTTCACGGATCATGGGTTAGAGTCCCCTTGCCGTCAGGCTAATTGTAGGAGGTTCTCGTGGTCTTCCTCTCGATGTAACGCAAATGCGGGTTATCTCCATCAAAAATTCCCCCACGAAGGCAAATTTTTCCCAATATTCGATCCAGGAGTTCCTTTGTCTTCTGGATTGAGTTCAAAATTACAAGGCTACGGAGTTGAACATTGGTGGTCGTAAACCCATAAAATTGGGTCGGCTGTTCAACGACGGTTATAAAATACTAATTAATTAGTTTATTTGAGGTCCCCCCTCGAGCTATAAGATTGAGAACTATGGAACGCGAAAATCTGATTATCAGATCAAATGCTAATCAGAAAACTCCCTTCAGAAGATTAGAACCTTTTTATTGGTTATTACCTTTTTCAAGCCAAATTATATTAGTTTCTCGGGCTTACAATAATCAAAAATTGACATAGATAAAATTTTCAAAGTATTTGATAATAGTTAGACTTTGCTTTTTAAATTGAATCAAACTCAAGTTTTTCATTGATATAGCGAGGGATTGTTTAATCAAATTTAATCATATTTCTTAGTTTTCAAAAATTTCTCGTTTCAAATCATATACTTGTATTTCAACGTGGTTTTTTAAAACTAATTAGTTACACGAATTCAAACATGTTAATCAACGATATTAATATTTGTTTATGAATAGTATGGTAAGAGGTTTTTAAAAGTCGATTTTTTAAAAGTCCATTATGGTGACAAAATTATTTGAAAACATTCAATATCTTCTATGAGTATAAGCAGTGATTAATATATAAATTTACATTTAGAAGTATTATTAAGCTAGAACAGTGGTGGCGAACCTTTATACACCAACGAGCCATTTTTTCTAAAAAATTGTTCAATGAGGTCATAGACGTGCCGTCAAATATTTTTGACTTCGTGATTATTGGAAAAATAATAATACTAAATACTATCAAGTCAAAACTCTTTATTTACATTGAAAAAAAAAAAACATTTTGCAATGTCTCAGTTATACGCGTAATTCANTGGATAAGGCAAAAAGTCTTATTTACATGCTTTAAAAATGGTGAAAAGTTGAATTTTTTTAGCTTGCAATTTATTTAGAAAAAGTAGTGTCCGGTTTGTAGAGATAAAAAACAACGTTTCAGGACCAAAATGACTGTCCGCGTCCGGTTACGGGAGTGTCCGCTTTGCAGAGAATGTATGTTATGGTTTATTCATAGAAGATTCCCGGGGAATTAAAAATATGTCCGTATTGAGAGGCGTCCGTTTTGCAGGAGTGTCCATAACAGGAGGTTTCACTACTTGTATTTCAATGTGGTTTTTTAAAACTAATTAGTTACATGAATTCAAACATGTTAATCAACGATATTAATATTTGTTTATGAATAGTATGGTAAGAGGTTTTTAAAAGTCGATTTTTCAAAAGTCCATTATGGTGACAAAATTATTTGAAAACATTCAATATCTTCTATGAGTATAAGCAGTGATTAATATATAAATTTACATTTAGAAGTATTATTAAGCTAGAACAGTGGTGGCGAACCTTTATACACCAACGAGCCATTTTTTCTAAAAAATTGTTCAATGAGGTCATAGACGTGCCGTCAAATATTTTTGACTTCGTGATTATTGGAAAAATAATAATACTAAATACTATCAAGTCA